CTACAAAATCAAAATACTACGACTAGGGTTTCTGGGAACCTCGATTGTGGAAGATATCAATCTCATTTAGGGATTTTCTATCATGGTTCCCGGCGCCAACGAACTACTGCATAGCACATCTGAATCTGAATCTGAACACACACCCAGGGCCTAAATTGAAAGTTACATATCACCATACGCGCCAATGATGCAAGCAATCGATATTTAAATGACCAGAATTTTAAATATAAAGCCCTCGATACGAGACGTGATGTAAAATGATTTGAGAGTCGTAGACAGATTCATGTAAGTATCATCACCGGGGGGGCATTCTAATAGGGGCGAGAAACATTGCTCCTCCTGTTACATGTTTCGTCTCCCCCTCTTCACATCACGTTCAGCAGTGATCCTTCACAGTCACTTTAGCCTCGCAAGACTCATACCCCTTCGAAAACCGGCCGTTCGCCTGATGATCGCTGGTATGTCACCGAGAACAATGAGCTGCACAATATCCAGAAAGCACTTACGATGTCATATTCGCAGGACACTGATGCGTCGTAGCCTTTCAACTTGTCGTTATTGTAACTGCCAGCCTATTAGTTACTTTCTTCAATGAAGATGTGTGGGTGCGACGCACACGCAAAATAGGTGCTTGTGGTCTCCCAGTGGGAAGGACTCTGCTAGAGTCGAGGTACTACCGTCGACCTGCAATGTGGGTGGGCACTGTATACACGCATTGGCACCAGCGAGGAAGCTGAACAGCGCAAACATGATTGAGCGGGAAGTAAACATGATGGAGTTCGTGAACGGGAATGAGGCAAAGCCATAGTAGCAGGCAGGTGTTTTATAGGCTGAAACTTCCAATGTAAACGCAAAGGCGTTGCTCGGAGCCCCTTTGCTGCTGAGATGCCCTGCTGTAGGCGAAAACAGTTGAGCCAAAATGCATGATAATCTCCGCAGACTCTGGATAAGTTGATATGGCAAGTACTCAAAGAGAGATGTGCGGCACGATGGTGTCGTAGGCGAGAATGAATCTCCGGTTGCCTTGGCTCGTCAGATATGCGCACACATCGGACGTTGTGACTTCCCAAAAAACACTCTCCGTAATATGACCATCCTTGAATCGATGATGTTCAGCATGGCCGCCCTATAGATGCCAAAACTCCTGCGCAACGTTTGAGTTTTGGTCTTCCGCAGAAGTTTTGTGGTCAACAAGACGGAACTTCGTAGGGTGCGGTTGAAAAGTCGACAGATGTTAAATATTCCGATTCCTAATTGTTCATCCTTAACACTGTTAAAAAGTCGCTCTGTAATTTGACCTGTTAATATTGTGAAAATTTGTGGTCATGCAGGGCCGTCTCCGCCGTCCGGACAACTTCATAGCTGCAAAAGACCTGACTACCGTCACGGAAGGCATGAGCAGGATCATAAATAAGGCTGATATCAATCGTGAACGTGCCAGGGCTTTGTGCCGAGGATATGCGACAGCAAGGGGTAGTAGACATTAGTAGAGGCCAGGAGGGTTGCACCGGAAGAACCAAAGAGCCAAAATGGACTGATTCCGAGAAGTTCGCGATAAACATTGAGAGTTGGGAAGCCGTAAGAAAAAAAACACTTGCCCAAAGCGAGTAAGATATTGGACCGGCGTTTCAGGAAACACTCAGCGAACGTGTCATCAGTTTAACAATTGCTCCAGCGTCTCCTCAGCGTCCTGACTTAATTTGAAGATTGTCAGTACCGATGGCAATGAAACTCACCAAGTCAAGTGAGGTCACAGATGAGCGGAGCGTCAGACAAAAAGTTGATAGTAGATGTTGCATCAAAGAGTATAGCTGGGTGATGTGCAATGCACTCATCAGCTGGAGGGTAGTAAAAAAAGAGAAAAAGAAACATTGATGCGCAAATGTCATGTCAATGGACATTGTACAGAGACATAATTATCCTGCATCCATCAATCATCTTGAAGCTGAAGTCTCACCAGACTTCTACTTCAATGCTAAGCTCCCTGTCAGTCTATGCATGACAATTTGCAGTCAGACATCGGCACAGCTACAAGATCAGTGTCCACCAAGGAACTGCCCATGAGCCGATCGAGTTCTCCATCTGGCGATTTAGGAGTCACAAATAACAGCAAACAACGATGGATCTCGTTTCGATCTTAATTTCTTGCCCACTGGGCCCATCACAGGCATAGCATATTGGTGTCCTCTCACCAGATCTAGACTACTTACCTCTACCTACCCCAAGGGTGGAACTATCTGCCAGCTATACAGCGGGAATCAGTACTTGTCAGTACACCGTGATTGAATGACTGGCACGATTCCAAAAGCCAAAAACTGACAGATCCAATCTTCAGACTCTAGCATGTCCGCCATGGCTTACAGCTCCGAATCCAGCTCCCAGATCTACGCTGAGGCCACATGGCTGCAAGGTGCCATTGTCGGTGCCATGTTTTACGGCGTGGTGGTTGTGATGTCTTTCATGTGCTGGCGCTTGCTCTGGCCACGCATTCGATCGCATTCCACTGGCTACAGGAAAAATATATTCTTCTTCTGCTATGTCACTTTCCTTTTTGTGTTGGGTACTATGGATGCGGCGTTTTCTGCGGAGGAGACGCAGAAGACCTTCATCTATAATCGTCTATATCCCGGAGGTATATGCAAATTGTCAAATGGACTTATCTCGTCTTATGTTCTTCACACATACAGGCCCGAGTGCATTCGCTAGGATAAGCTTTTCGCCTCCGCTTGGCATTTCCCTCTTGCTTTCAAATTGGTGTGCAGACCTATTGATGGTCAGTGTGCAGTCACATCTCCTATCTCACTATTGACCGCACACCTTAAGATTTGGCGGTGTGTAGTGGTATACAGAGATACCAGATTACACTATATTATCTTGGGACTTGGAAGCCTCATGTTTCTCACATCTGTGGGTATGTACCGGACATACCTCTCTTGTTCGTCGTTCCTCACGACCTTCCCAAGTCACCGGAGTCCTCTGGTTTGTAATCATGTCAAACCCACACAAAGCCACAAACGGCTGGGTGTCCATCCGCTTCCTCTTCCCGTACATCTGCGTCGCCCTGACCATCAACATCTTCATTAGCCTCCTCACTGTCCTGCGCCTGTTATACCACCGTCGCAAAATGTCCAAAATCTTCGGCCCAGGTCACGGCGCGGTCTATGCCAGTTTTGCGACAATAATTATTGAGTCCGCTGCCATCTGCTCAATAAGCTCGCTTCTTTACCTCATCCCGTTCGTCGCCCACAACCCACTCGCAAATGCATTCGTGCAAATCCTGGGCCAGCCGCAGGTAAGTGGGCGCATACTATTCAGAACGAATTTTGATTTACGTTTGTCGTTTAGAGAATTGCCTCACTCCTCATTATCTACCGTGTTGCAGAGGGGAAGGCCTGGGGGAAACGATGCAATAGCACCACTCTTGATAACGGGAGCTCCCTCCAGATGCGGCAGATGTCCGAGACCTTGCCAACGTCTGCTGCACCAAATCAGCTACACATAGAGACTCACTTCGACGGAGAAAGTAGCCGTGACGGTTCCATACGGCAGCCAAATTCAAGATACTCGAGAGAATCTACCAGTGAGGCTGATGCCCCAGCTGGCTGTGCGTATGAATCAAGAAAGCAGAACGCATGAATTTATCTGGTCCATCTGTCACTTCCGGCCCTCCGTGTTGCTAGCTCCGAAATACTCGATCCGATGGATAAACTCGCCTTGGTCAGTGTGTTCCCTCTCGTTTTGTGTAATTGAAATCCGCACCGCACGCACCGTATTGTTGGATGAAGCTATTTTATTTTTATTTCACACATCGGAGACCTATGCCAGTGAGAAGTACCACTACACGAAGCAGCTTCACAGAAATAACCGCTCCGTCCTTGCATTATGTAGCTATAGCACTGGCACATCAGTATTAAATTGTTGTAAGTTATCTAAGAGCACTAATGGAAAATGACCTTTGAAACATTTCAGAGTCTTCCTCAGTGCTTCGTACACTAAGGCCATCCATCGATCCGTGCTCAGCAAAGTCCTCCAACGTAGTTGTGCCATACCAGCCGGTGCGACTTGGATCAGGCGCACCTGTTTACTCTATTTACTAGCTCATCATCTTCGACGATAGTGATCACTGATGCATCAAGGTGTTTGATCAGGAGCGTGCTGGTATCCGAGGCGCGCACACAGCCAGAAAGGTGCATCCCTCTGTGACTCCTCAATCGCACGACTGTGATAACCTGCTCTTCAATGTTAACCGCTTCGCATGCTGGGGACAAAATCATGTGTCACCGCTTCTCCCAGAACGTCCGAGTCATCACGAGTACAATACGTTCCCTTGGCCAATGGGTGCCACGTATGGATGCGGGTGATGGGACATTATTCCGGCGTGGGCTCCAACTTATTGACCAGAATCCTCGTGTCTACATGGTCATCTGAACTTGAGTGTTCATCTGATATACCACTTTCGAATCATGTCGCCACATCCTTTCCTCGTTCTTCTGCGTTCCCATACCTTCAACTCATCGCGTCATATTGCACCTGCGTCCATCTTGCATCTTCTATTTTCAACTCTGACTTGGAAGTCTCTTATTTGCTTCATTGTGGAGTGCGGCATTCTCTCTAACTATTCGCTCCCAAGCGAAAACCGCCATTGGCGTGCATGAAACAAAGATCTATCGTCCCATCAGTGATATTGTCGTCATCCACGTCGTCATATTCCTAGGATCAACCTCTAGCCCACAACTTGTAGATTCAGAGGCGAGGGACGATTCGACGACCATCGTTACCGATATCAGTGCAGGGCCGCACTTACACCCCAGTGTTGCTGCTCCTCGTAGGCAGGTTGTGTTGGGCTCACTCAAGTGATTAATTCCGACCCTTCTACTTCCAACCTCCAATCCTCTCTGGCCGAGGATGATTCTGAACAGATTGATTGAATAATGCATCAGAGAAAGGCGGGCTTGCGCCTGCAGTTCCTGTTTCGCGGACCCACAGTTCACCGACCACCTGCGAGACCTCATCACAAGTTCTTGTCATATCAGTGAGTGACATCTGTAGTCGAGTAGCAAGGACATGGGTAATGGGATCCCCGGTGAACAGTCCATGGTTGAAGTGGATGAGGAGTTCGAGACGAAGGAGGCGCTGAGGCTGCGAATCGGAGAGAGCGCAGGGAGCGTAAGCACCATGATGCGCTACAGAATGTCGTCGTACCTCCATCTGGCGAAGAACCCCAAGACCAATCCGACACCCCCGGGCCTCTTCGCACTTCTCCGCGCCGTATACCCCACCGTCCCCCCAAAAAAACAGCCGTTTTCGCCAGACTTATCATCGGCCTCCTAATATTCTCCTTTCGCGACTCATTGTCCTAGTCTCCGCAGGCGGCTCATACACCAGTATGATCGACAGCTACGGCGGACTCGTACTCGGCATCGCAGCCCTCAACGGGCTTCTCCTCGGTTCCGAATTCTTCGTGATGGAAACCAGTGTAATGCGCGGGGTCGCTCGTCTCCGCGACATCGCTTTCAGCCGTGTTCTCAGCCAGGACAAGAGCTGCTTTGATCGACCCGAGCTTACTCAAGTGGTCGTGATGATGCGCGTACGTTGATCGCTGTGGTGTTAGGCCAGATCGTTGCTGTTGGCGCGATGATGACTGTTGGACTTGTCTGGGCTATGGCTTGGGGGTGGCATGTTGACGCTTGTGGGGCTGGCTATTGGGCCTGTGTTTGTTGGCGTTATGGGTCTTCAGACGAGTTTGATGGCTATGTGCGATCTGCGCAATAAGAGGTCTCGGGACGAAGTTGCAAGGGTGTACTACGAGGTGGGTGTTCAATGCTGTTATGAGCGACGTTCTCATATGTGCTCTAGTTTCTCACCGTCCGTGGGATTCGTCACCATTCGTGCAATGTCTGTTCGTCAGGCTCAATTCGACAAGGGACTTCACAGTGCTTTTCCACTGGTGTACGCGGTGCATTCGTCGAGGGGTGTTCTTATGGCGTCGCCAGCGCTCTTATCTACTTGGCGGAGAGGTTTCTTGTCTACGTCGGCGCTGTGCTTATCGCCAAGGGCACTTACACATACCTCCAGATGTGCCAAGTCCTCAACCTCCTCGTTTTCACCGACTCCGTCGGCTCGCAACTCATGTCTTTTACTCAACGCATCGCCAAGTCCGTTCTCGGAACAAATGAGACTAAATGGGTGTGAAAAGATACCTCCAACTGAACAGGCATTCGAGCTAGCCGCGTTGAAGGAGCTGCCCATTGGTTGAACCGAGTTCCCCGTCCGGCGATTTCGGGGTCATGAAGCGTTGAAACTTGACACTGCGCAGTGCGGTTCGTCCGTTAGAAGACACAGCAAAAATCCAGACTTTTTTTCTGTTTTTTTTTCTGTCTTTTTTCTTTTTTTCGTCTTTTTTCATCCGATGTGCGCAGATCATCACAACTTTTTCTTCTTCTTTTTAGGCAAGTTTCATTATATTCGTGAATTGCAATAAACAGCAACAAACAACGATGAATCTCATTTCGAATCTCTCAATTTGCGATATAACCGTCGACGCGATGATCTCAATTAATGCACGGCATATTTTATCCTCTCACCAAACTACCTATTCCAAGGTTTCCCCGAGGGTGGAAGCCGTCTGGCAGCTGTACAGCGGGAATCAGTGTCACCACACCGTGATTGAGTGACTGGTATAAATGTACGTTGCACAGGCACGATGCCAACGAGGTAGCCCAAAAATTGACAGATTTAATCTTTAGACTCTAGCATACCGCTATGGCTTACAACTCCGAATCCAGCGCGCAGACCTACGCTGAGGCCACATGGCTGCAAGGCGCCATTTTCGCTGCCATGTTTTACGGCGTGGCGGTTGTGATGTCTTTCATGTGTTGGCGCTCCCTCTGGCCACGCATTCGATCGTATACCACCGGGTACAAGAAAAACAGATTCCTCTTCTGCTATGTCACTTTCCTTTTTGTGTTGAGTACGATGAATGCGGCGTTTTCTGCGGAGGAGACGCAGAAGACCTTCATCTACAATCGCCTATATCCAGGAGGTATGCCTACTGCGAAGTGAGCTGTATCTCGTCTCATGTTCTTCACGCATATAGGTCCAAGTGCATTCGCTAGGATAAACTTTTCACCTGCGCTTGGTGTTTCCCTCTTGCTTTCAAATTGGTGTGCAGACCTATTGATGGTCAGTGTATAGTCGCATCTCTCATCTCACTATTGACCACCCACCTTAAGATTTGGCGGTGTATAGTGGTATACAAAAATACCAGATCCCACTTGATTGTCTCGGGACTTGGAAGCCTCATGTTTCTCACATCTGTGGGTATGTACCGGACCTACCTCTCTCGTTCGCCGTTCCTCATGCCCTTCTCAAGTCACCGGAACCCTCTGGTTTGTTGTCATGTCAAACCCCCACAGAGCTACAGACGGCTGGATGTCCATCCACTTCCTCTTCCCGTACATCTGTGTCGCCCTCACCATCAACATCTTCGTCAGTCTCCTCACTGTCCTGCGCCTGCTATACCACCGCCACAAAATGTCCAAAATCCTTGGCCCAGGTCACGGCGCGATTTACGCCAGTTTCGCGACAATAATTATCGAATCCGCATCCATCTATTCAATAATTTCGCTCCTTTACCTCATCCCGTTCGCCGCCCGCAACCCGCTCTCGGATGCATTCGTGCAAATCCTGGGTCAGGCGCAGGTAAGTGTGAGCATGATACTCAGAAGAATTATGATTTACGTTTGTACTCCAGATCGTTGCCTCACTCCTCATTATCTTCCGTGTCGCAGAGGGGAAGGCCTGGGGAAAACACGCTAACTCACCAATGGAAAGCTCCTTCCAGATGCGGCGAATGCCCAAAACCTTGAAACCCTCTGCTGCGCCAAATCAACTAAACGTAGAGATCCACTTTGAGGTAGAAACTAGCCACGACAGTTCCATTCCGCCGCCAAAGTCACCATACTCGGGGGAATCTGCCAGTGAGGCTAATGCCCCACTTGACAGCACGGTATGAGACCCGCAGGGCTGTACGTATGAATCAAGACAGCGGGACGCACGAATTTATCTAGACTCTGTCACTACCGGCCCTCCGTGTTTCTAGCTCCGAAATACGGATAGATTCGCATTGGTCAATGTGTTCCCTCTCGTTTTGTGTAATTGCGATCAGCTCCGCAGAACCAACCGCTCCGTATTCACATTATGTAGCTATAGCGATTTTATTACAGGTACATTATGTATTAAATTATTGTAAGTTATCTAGGCTCTTAATTGACAGTCTTTTTTCGTGGAGTAGCATCATTGGAAGGAGCGTCATAAACATACATCATCGCAACTCGTCGTGCTAGCGCCCTAAGCTACTATCATTCCGGGTAGTCTGCAACTTTTTCAGCAAATCTTTTGTAGCTCGTCAACCACTTCATATTATCTTCCAATAATTTAGAGTATTGTAGATTCGTACCACCTCTATATAGATCTGATTTTTGCTCATTTTTAGGACGTTGTGGTGTGGTGTCGGATGAAAGCCGAGAAAATTCAGGGTCTGACTGCTAATCTGCAAAATATGGTCACGTCGTGTCACACCTCGGCGCAGCACCGGCACCGTCAACTTTGACTCTCCGCAGCTCTCGATCTGTTGGTGTTCAGTACTTGAAACTCGAAGTTGAAGTTGTGCGAAGCTCTGAAAATACTGAATACAGCAATACGTTATTATTACAGCTCTTTGCATAAAGGATGGCACTGGCGTGAAATTTTCGTTCAATTAGGAAATGTTAGACTTAGTGAAATTTTGCTCGTGTACGCTCATACTGCCCTTATATTAATATCATCTTCGCAACATGGGATTTCGCAAAATCAGTCGTGATGTGAAACTTGCGGCAATCCGACTCCATGCACGGAACCTTCTAAGCCTTTGTGATATCCTAGATTGCTGCGGATTTTCCAGATGCACTTGGTTTCGGATTTTGAAGCTCTGGCACGAAACCGGCGATGTCGTGGACCGTTAGCCTAACACAGCAATGCGTGGTCGTCTGCGTGCTCTCGATCGTGAAGATATCGATTGCCTGCTTCGCCTTATAAGGCAGAATCCTGACTATTTTTTGGATGAGCTCATGCACCTCCTCGCGACAAACCAATTCATATCTGTCCATTTCACGACAATCTTCCGCGAGCTCGAACATGCTGATGTGAGCTACAAGAAACTCAAGCGCATTGCCAAGGAACGCAACGAGACTCTCCGTGCTGCGTTCATCGCACGCATGGCTCAGTATGATCCATCAGAGTTGGGATTTATTGACGAGACGTCAAAAGATGAGCGGACATAGTAGGGATCATTAGTCACAGATTTTAGTTCCACGCTTTCGCTTTTTGGACATGGTCGGAGGTGGTGTAAGGATCTTCATGGGCTGGGACTGCTCAAGCTCGTCATCTTCGCCGTCGTCATCAGAGTCAGGTTCCTCTTCCTCCGAAAGTTCTTTCATTCGAATATCGTCCTCATCGGACCCATTGGAATCAAGGTCACTGTCATGCTCTTGTGTTTTTTGGAGGCAGGAATAGTTATAAACGGCATGATGATAATGAATTACAGGGGATGTGAGTGTACAATGAGCAAAATTTCACTAAGTCTAACATTTCCTAATTGAACGAAAATTTCACGCCAGTGCCATCCTTTATGCAAAGAGCTGTAAGTATCACGGTTCATGTAGTTATTGTGATTGTACTGGTAATATGGTCCTGAATAGAGTTGACGGCCTGCGACATCATACATCTGTGCCTCATCACCAACTCGAACATCCGCTCTACCAGCCGGCGCAAAGTGAGGAATAGGTGGAGGCTGAAGCTGAGGTGCGGAATGGTGCATGGGATAATATGGGGGTGTATACCCGGGTGGGGGAAGATCCATGTGCAACATCGAGGGTTGACTCGGAGGGATAGGCTGTGGTTGATAGTCACCACGGCGGCAAAGTTGGCTTCATGAGTCATGTCTTCTTCGGCTTTCTTCTGACGGGCAGTACGCCTGCGGTTTGGTGCCATTGTAACAAGGATGCGAGAATGATGCAAGAGGAGACGACACAACACAATGCAATGCAAGACTTGGTGTGGAGAGTGCAGATGCCGTGCACTAGCCGAGTGTGCCGTAGAGGAGATTGAATTTCTTACATTCTCTCCTATCTGCTGTCACGTTTTCATACATGTCGTCAATTCTTCCTCTATAGCATCTTAAAACAACAGGATGACCTTTATCGAAATTGTGTTCTGGAATCCTGACGAGGTGATTGTTATGCTCCAGGTATAACTTTGTGAAAATATCCGTAGGATCTATGGGATCTGGATGATTTATGTTCCTGCATGGTCACAAATTACCACTATTTCATCTCTCGCAGCTGCAACACTCAAGAAATTTTCATTCTACTTGGACAGTACATCATCTATAAGTAGTCTACATATGCCTGAATTTTTTTGAAGTGAGTCGAGCAGCGCGTTGAGGTGTTTTGAACATTTACATATTACATGCTAGTTGCAGATTACCCGGAATGATAGTACAAGACACCAAAGGAAAGTCTGATCATGAATCATTAATTAATAGATGCTATACGTACAGTTCCAGTGATTGTAGGAGAGCCGAAGGAGAGTTATGCCCTTCGTGGATCGTCTAGGCTCGGTCCAGTGGGACAGCTCCAGGGCAGGAGGTCGCAGTACTAGTGTCACGGTGGAGGGCAGCCATTAATAGCATCAGGCAGACGGTCCAAAGGAGGAGTCGGGTAGTCTCTGACCGACTCAATCAGCGCACCAGTACTGGCAGATGTCCTCCATGTGAACGACAAGAGTATTGTACACTGGGCTGACTGGGTGGACGCGACAGGTTCGGTAGACTCTAGACGGAAGCTGAACGGTCACAACTGTTGAGAAAATAATCAAAAAGAGTGTGCGATTATCCTATTAATATGGCGCTACTTATCAGTTCCGAAAATTTTCGTCTCTCCCGCGGCGGCATTACATTGTATGTCCCATCCGAGGCCGCGAAGATTGTTCGCCATTTTCGAAAGGAATATACCATGCATGACTGCAAGGTACTCGGGGGTTTTGTTAAGGAAGAAGTCGGTGGATCGTGACTAGTGTCAGTGAGTGCTTGAGCAAGTCGAGGACGTGTGTCGCGGCTGCTCGGTGATGTCAGACCACATCAGAACCGAATTTCATCTCCGTAAGAGTCTGATAACGGGGTACGTGCCAAACATTGTTCTTCACAAATACTCAGCGCTCGTACACAAACCAGGTAACCAACGGAACCAATGCTGCGTTAACGGTCGCATCGAAATTCAACAGCACATCTCCAGATTCTCCATCTGTTGAGTGTCTTGGCCTGGCTTGTCGCACAATGCACAACCTCCGTGTCGATAGATAATCAGCTTCGTCTCGTAGAGTCGTAACTCATTTCAAAATAAACAGCAGAGCCAGAAGAAGTCAAGTTCAACTGCGGATGCAATATGATGTTGTTCTATGGTGCGTGTAACGTCTGGTTAAGCACGACCCGCCAATGGCTCCTCCTGACTGTGTTGGGTGCTGGGAAAAGCCGCATTGTAGCTTTGTGCTCTTCTGCAACCAGACGAGCACCCAGTTGTCCTTCCAATCAGATTCCACTTCCCTGTTCATCCAGAGCTTCGCAGTTCGCACGGCACAGCAACAGCATTGGACATCGGACAACACTGGAACTTCAAGACTCCATCGATCCGATCTGAAGTGGTTCTTACACCTTGCAATTTCTATCACTACGCAGTAAGTGATATACAGTTTGATCGGCTCGCTGCCCAGCTCATCAACATTGGACAGACTTAGTGCTCCAAACCATCGTTTAACACCTTCAGCGCCCGCCCTCAAACGATCCAAGTTACAGCTCACCCTGCGATACAAGTTGGATCAACGTCCTCGGTAAGTCGCAGCGTAACCGTCGCTCCTGTGGTTTCTAAACGCACTGTCGTACCCGACCAGTGCTGCTTGGAGTTATCCCGCTGTTCATATTAAAATCTGTGTCACGATTATCACCATCCCCTTGTTAAGGAATCAATCCATCTCTTATCCCCTTTCTCCGTCTCTGACCCATTCAACAGTTCTTGTATATGTCTGAAGGAACTTGGGAGAAGTTGTCCCAGGTCGCTGTCAAGAGTGCTGAATACGACTCACGTGAACGCCGGCCTCATCCGAAATGTTTAAAAGGGACTCGGGTGGACCTCCTCGACTACATCTATGGATTACTAGACAACAAAGCGAAGAGTCGACTTATTTGGCTGCATGGCACGGCGGGCGTTGGAAAATCTGCCGTTGCGTTCAGTGTAGCTGAAAGAATGAGAGGTCTGAAAATGACAGAGGAGACAAATGTCGAAAAGCGGCTTGCAGGAACATTCTTTTTCTCGCGCAAGCACACAAAACGCCGTACGACTGGTTATTTCTTTGCGTCGCTTGCCTACCAGCTTGCCACCAATTTTCCCAGCGTCCGGGTGGATGTCAACAGAGCTATTCTCGAGAATCCTGCCCTTCTGGACCCCGACAAGTCACTTCGTGACCAGATGGAGGCCTTGTTCCTCCGACCTCTCCGCAGGCTTCAACGCAGACTGCGCGAGTGTCCGCCGTTGGTGTTCGTTATCGACGCCCTTGATGAATGCACACCAGAATCACTCGAATCAGAATCCCTCGAATCAGAATCCCTCGATGAATCCCCCGACAAAAGCGAGCTCGCTGACCTCATCTCCCTACTTGGCGAAGCTCTTTGTGAACCTAATCTGCCCGTCACCCACATTGTCCTCACGAGTCGCTCGGAAGAGCATATCCGCAAAGCCATGCAGACACGGGAGATGCACTCGCTGGTGTGCGAGATACCAGTGAATATTTCTGGGGAGGGCGTTTCTGCCACCATCTCGTTAGATGGCGCTGACGTTGACAACGACATACATGTTTTCTTGGAGCATTCGTTCAGAGAGCTGGGAAGTCGCCATCCCGATTTCCCACAGCCATCAAAGGATCAACTTGCGCGGCTGGCGGGCCGAGCGGGCAGACGGTTCATTGTTGCCTCTACGATGACGAAGTTCATTGATGATCGAAAGCATGATCCTCGCGATCGACTTCAGCTCATGCTCGAGCTATCGAGCGAACTGCTACCAGGAACGGAAGTGTACAAGTTATACGACCGTATCCTCTCCACATGTGCCGACCCGACACTGGCATATCAACACTTGTCTGTCGTTGCTACCCTTGCAGACCCTCTGCCAATGTCACAGATCTCGAAACTTCTAGGCCCTGGTCAGGGCAGGGACGTCGAGACAGTACTGGTGCAACTACGGTCTGTCATAGATATTCCTACAGACAGCAATCTCCCCGTGAACATCTACCATTCATCTGTTCGTGACTATGTTTCGCACCGCTCCAACTGCAGCCTCCGTCAAGTACAATGTATCATTTCACCTCACTCCCTACTCGCTCTCTCCTCTCTCCACTTGATGGTGTATGACATTCCAAAAAGCACAGCCCTGCTCCATGCGCTCTCAGAATTGACACAACACAGCCAAGCTATACAAGGACACGACCCCCAGAGTTTAAAACGCTCATTATCCTTCACGGTCCAGCCACCGGAACCACTGCAAGCACTTATGGCCCTTCTATGGCTTCGGGGAGCGCGCAGTTCAGGGTTACAATCCTGGCTTGAGACCCTGGACGGGCGCGCCTGGCTACAGACTCCGGGTATGCAAGATTGGCTGCAGGCCCCGGGCGGGCGAGGTTGGCTGCAGACCCCGGGCGGGCAAGACTGGCTGCAGACCGACGGGGGAAAAGAGTGCTTGGCGACCGAGTGGGGAAAGGAATGGCTGCAGACCCCGGGCGTGCGAGGTTGGCTGCAAACCCTGGGTGGGCAAGACTGGCTGGTGACCAATGGGGGGAAAGAGTGGTTGCTGACCCAGTGGGGAGAGGACTGGCTACAGACCCCGGACATGCAAGGTTGGCTGCAGACCCCGGGCGGGCAACACTGGCTGCAGACCGACGGGGGGAAAGAGTGGTTGGCGACCGGGTGGGGAAAGGAATGGCTGCAGACCCCGGGCGTGCGAGGTTGGCTGCAGACCCTGGGCGGGCAAGACTGGTTGCTGACCAATGGGGGGAAAGAGTGGTTGCTGACCCAGTGGGGAAAGGACTGGCTGCAGACTCCGGGCATGCGAGGTTTGCTGCAGACCCCGGGCGGGCAAGACTGGCTACAGACCAACGTGGGGAAAGACTGGCTGCAGACCCCGCACGGGCAAGACTGGCTGCGAACCCCGGGCGGGCAAGACTGGCTGAGATCCCCTTGTGGGCGAGACTGGCAGTGGTCCCCTGCATCGTCTTCGGGCCGCTCGTCCCACGGAGAAGACACCTGGGGTTTGGCCCGCCACTGCAGCGGGTACGCCTGGCTTCAGACCGATGGTGGGCTAGAATGGCTGGAGACCCAGCACGGGGAAAGCTGGCTGCAGACCGCCTGCGGGAAAAGCTGGCTGCAGACCACCTGCGGGCAAAGCTGGCTGGAGCCCGCCTACGGGCGAAACTTGCTGCAGACCCAAAGCGGGCGAAACTGGCTATGGACTCCATCCCCATCCCACAGGTTATCCCCATCCCACAGGTTATCCCCATCTCCATCCCCATCTCTATCTCCATCGCTATCTCACAGGTTATCCTCACCACTAACCTTCGAACCACATCCACCAACGCCCCAGCCATCCTCGCAGCCAGCCCCTAACAACGGACACCAGCCACAGACCTCGGACAGTGGGGCCTGGCTGGAGATCCCGGGCTCGCTACGCTGGCTGCAAACTCCTGCCGGGCGAAAATGGATGCAGGATCAAGGGTGGGACTGGCTGCCGACCCAAAGCGGGCGAAAATGGCTGCAAGCCACAGGTGGGCATGACTGGCTGCAGACTCAAGGCGCGCGAGACTGGCTTCAGACCCAAGGCGCGCGAAACTGGCTGCAGACCTATGGGAGAGACTGGCTGCAGACCCAGGGCGGGCGGGACTGGCTGCAAACGCCACACGGTCAAGCATGGCGTTTGACGACTGTCTGGGTGACAATGGAAGAGTTCTCGAGCACTTTGGACGCAATCAGGGAGTACATAATCGCCCCAGAACTTCCTTTGCAGCCAGCTTTTCAAGTAATTCAACAGTTCAAGACTCTCCCCGATTTCTTAATGTTTCCGGCGTTCCTGGCACTAAGGCACCAGGATCGTTCCGACTATGCGCTACCACAAGGTCATTTTCCACCAGTAATCCATGCCATGAAAGTCTTTTCGAGTGTCGCATACGAGGCACGCGCACAAAGTAGATCAACTTCCGACGCCCTCAATTACGCATGTCAAAACTGGGCCGTCCATCTCTCACGAGCCCCGAGTTCGTGGGACGAGAAACTCGCCCATATATTCAAGTATTTCTGGAATCATAGTCTCCTCTCCTGGCTCGAGAGGCAGTGGTGTTTGAAGGATCTGCAGTCTTGCCTCACTATTTTATCCGAAGGCCAGAAACTTGCAACGGTATGTGTTTTACCAACAATTTTCTAGACTCACAACCTAACCTGCCCCTGTAGGAACATCTCCGAGCTCCAGGGTCATCTCAATCACGAGTCTGAAGTTGTCGACTTTATGCAATATGTCATGTTGTCTTGTTACCGCACATTGATCCTCACGTTGCTCGAGTTTTACACCCTCCGAAGTCAATTGCACGCATAGACCGGCGATCACTTGCGGACTGTGAAGGGAATAGAGGGGAAGCGAGATCATGAGTCGAGAGGGACGCAAAGGAAATGATGCTGAGTACGGGAATTTGTTATGGGCTAGGTCAGGTTGGGAAGTAGCAGTGCAAGGACGATGAAAATAACTATCAATCGACAAACACATTGTTTCCTCTCAAGTTGAGAACGATTCAACTTTGAACCTCAGTTTTACCCACCCACACCTTAGGAGCAGTCATCTTTGGTCAACAGACTGGGAAATACAAATACAAATCGAGATCAAGTGTACATATCAGCGGGGTATACAGTCCTATAGTCTAAAATATCACCATGTAATCCTTGACCACACGCTGCGCGTAGCCACAGCTGGATACTGTATATGCGACGTCGTCGGATTGTCTCGAGAAGGTAAGGTAAGAGGACGCACGAAATGGGTCATAAACCGATGTGCATGAAAACGATGCGCTGGTCCAAAGGAATGTTTTCATCACTGGAAGCCAACGTCCGGACTGCTTTGTGCAACGCTCGGGCAGCTCGTTTTGAATTCATCTTGCCGTCCCCACAAAAATTCTTGTAGAATTCCGCGACCAAGCGTTGCACGGTGCTGTCATTGACATTCCAAAATGTACCAATAACACTTTTTACCCCAGAAAATTGTAGGCCGGCCGCCAAGTGAATCACTTCGTCAGGAGTTTCGGCGTCACCGACTGCGGTCTCGCAAGCAGAAAGAAACGCAAATTCGTGCTGAGACAAACCCATGTGGCTGATATCTAGAAGTTGAAGTGGTTGGTCACCCATGAGAAATGCCGACTTGAAGGGTTCCGCAAAGTTTTGGGTCCCGTGACAAGCAAAATGGATCCAATGGTTATCTCGCAATGTGCGCAAGGCGGTCAATTTCGTTGATTCAGCGCTTGTGACTTTGGTGAAGGAAACAGTCGGGGAAGGGGGTAGGAGACTCTGCACCAACTCTAGTTCAGGCTCGACAAATATCAAAGGAAATTTATGTTCTGGCGGGTGATTCTGACCAATGGCAGCGAAGGACACGGGCAGGGCCCTGTCATGACTTCTACGAGCCTTGATCAGCGCAGTAAGCGATGGGGTGTAGGAAGAAATGTAGAACTGCGAAAGGGACTTTCCACCGGACCTGTATTCGCCAGCGGCGTGCAAAGGCAGGAAGTTGAAGAATGAGGTTGGGCACCACCATATTCGCGACCCAGGCTTTGCAACTCTGCCTAGATTTTCGACCACAGGGTGCACTACCTCGACCCACAGCTGTCTCAGAGCATCTATCAGCTTTCCTTGTTTCCCCTCCTCTTTTTTTACGGTCTGTTGGAGTGCATTCACCAATCGCTCGAGGTTTTCTACATTGATGGCGAGTCCTACAATGACCGGGGGTTCCTGTCGTGGGACGATGATTGCATTACAAGATGACTTGCTTGCAAGGAGAACAATAATAGGCCCATCACGAGCTGCATCTTGGAGATCGGAGAAAAGGGGGGGAAGTAGGAAGCGAGTGAAACCCTCGATCTTCCGCAGATCTTCCGCAGATGTATTCCAGTCCTCCACTAGACGTCTGTACCGGGTATCTTCCGCTTCAACGTCGACTCTTGTCTTCCCTTCCAAATGATTCGCAGGAGGTTTATCAAGGAGGGAGCTGAGGTCTTGGAATTTCTTCATCAGAGCCTGTGCGTGACCTCCGCGTTCCTGGAGGCTGTCAAGAGGCGTGCGGAATCGCGCCATCTGGGTCCAGATGAGAGTCCTGCCTTGTTCCAGCAACTCCACAGCGCGGCGCACATCACCACGACGAAGAGCACATGATGCAGCGTCAACTGCAAGCGTGTTTGGGAAGTCCGGATTCTTCATGGCATTATGACGAGATGAAACTGAAGCTGTTGCAGACATGTAGGCATCCAAAAGTTGCATGGAGGTTGCATAAGCCTCCAGTTCAGTGCCATGTATATGTTGATTAGCATAGTGAACCCAGCGTAAACTTGCTCGTAGGCGAAATAGCAAACCTCCAGAGGCAACATTTGCTGCTGCCTTGAAATGATGCATGGCGGCATCGAGACTGTCAGTACCTTCTCCACCTAATTGATGGATCTGTAGATAGACGGTAGCTAGCGACCGATGGACTGCTAATTGACGAGGATCATGTTGCGTCAACAGCATCAATGCACAGCGGCTATTCTCTAGCGACTCGTTGAGGTCTTGGGCATTGCCTTGGTGCTCGAAGCGGGTGGAGAGTTGATTCCCAAGGTCGTTTAATGACATGGACCGACCCGTGTGACCGACAGGGCGCAAAGCCAGTGCTTGCTGATGAAGCACGATAGCTTCATCCAAGTCTTGGTCATTGCGTCGGTGCTCGAAGCGGGCGGAGAGAAGATTCGCAAGGTTATTCAATGACATGGACCGATCTGGATGACCGACAGGGCGTAAAACCAGCGCTTCGCTGTGAAGTTTGATAGCCTCATCCAAGTCTTGGTCATCGCGTCGGTGCTCGAAGCGTGCGGAGAGACGAGTCGCAAGGTTATTTAATAACATGGACTTTTCTGGGTAACAGTCGGGGAGCAAAGCCTGCGCTTCCCTCAGAAGCACGATAACTTCATCCAGGTCTTGGACATTGCCTCGGTGCTCGAAGCGCGTGGAGAGCACAAGAGCAAGGTTATTCAATGACGCGGACCGAACTGGGTGGCCGACAGGGAGCAAAGCAAGCGCCTCCCTTTGAAGCACGATAGCCTCATCCAGGTCCTGGTCATTTCCTCGGTGGTCGAAGCGCGTGGAGAGCACAAGACCAAGGTCGTTTAATGACGAGGCCCGGTCTGAATGACCGACCGAGTACAATCCCAGCGCTTCCGTCTGGAACACGATGGCTTCATCCAAGTCTTTGTCATTGCCTCGGTGCTTGAAGCGGGTGGAAAGAAGATCCCCAAGGTGTTGTAATGACGTGGACCGATGTGGGTGATCAGTGGGGTATAAAGCCAGCTCTTCGCTGTGAAGCACGATAGCGGCATCCAAGTCCTGGTCATTGCCTCGGTGGTAGAAGCGGGTGGAGAGCACAGCACCAAGGTTGTGTAATGGCATGGGCCGATGTGGGTGACCGACGGGGTGCAAAGCCAGCTCTTCGCTGTGAAGCACGATAGCGTCATCCAAGTCCTGAGCATTGCCTCGGTAATGGAAGCGGGTGGAGAGCACAAAACCAAGGTTATGCAATGACTTGGATCGATCTGGGTGACCGACGGGGCGCAAAGCCAGCGCTTCCCTCTGAAGTACGATGGCCTCATCCAAGGCTTGGTCATTGCCTCGGTGCCTGAAGGACATGCAAAGTCCATTCGCAAGCCTATCTAATGACACGGACCGATCTGGGTGACCGACCGGGCACAAAGCTAGCACTTCCCTGTGAAGCGCAATGGCCTCATGGGCGTCTTGGTTATTGCCTTGGCGCTCGAAGCGAGTGCACAGCATTACACCCAAATTACCCAGCAATTGCACTCGGCGAGCATGCGTCGTGCTGTAGTATCCCAGTGCGTCATAATGAAGGGATATCACATCATCTAAGGCATGGGGATCATCTCTCTCCAAACAAAGATTCGCACGACGAGCAAGTTCATTCGGCGACCCAGGAAGCATAGGTGCAATTTGTGCCTCCGTTTCGACATTATTTGCATTGGTGCTTCTAGTAGAGTACAGAGCAGAGGCTTCAGTTGACAGAAGAGCTGCTCTGTAGACATGGCTGTTGGCGTGACAGACATCGAAAACCTCATTCAGTAACTCTCCAGCCACATTAGCATCCGTTTGAGACTGCCATTTTGCGAAACGAGATAGCAGAGCAATGGCAAGGTGGAGCTGGGTGATAGCTCGGTCCGGATGACCTGTGGGGCGCATATCAAGGGCTTTTTCAAAGAGAGAAGTAGGGATGTCGAGGGCGATGTAGGTCCCATTAGCTTGGCAACTAAGAAGCTTCGCAGTAGCTAGATTGAATAGTGCTGCAGGGCGGTAAGGATGATCAACGGGGCAGAAATCGACGGCGCATTCGAAGTGCTTTACGGATCGGTCGAGATCCCTACAGTTCTGCGTCCTGCGGTATCGTGCGAGAAAGTAATGTCCGCCATCCGTCTTTAATATAAACGCGCCCATATCGCAGGGTGTGGGCTGCATGTTAGAAGCTCTCAGCATCAGAATATCAGAATGAATTGATCACTCACGGGAGTAATGGGGTGGACTAGGGAGTCATCTTCATAGTGACATGGCTGCGCCGTGGTCATCAATAATGAAGTGCACGAGGATATGACTTCCCCCTGCTTAGGCTGAAAGATGATGGCTTCGATACCTCGTTAATATTAGTCAGGCGTAATTTACAACGGATGTTACTGACAATGTGAATTTCCACTGCGATCCAGTAATTCTCTGACACAGGTCTCGACTGTGCGGAGGAGTTCTCCATGACCGAGCATAGGATCCAATTCAAAGGAAGCATAAACTCTGACCCGAACTCTAGAAGATGGCTCGCATGGTCTTGAACATTTTTCAATACGTGTAGGAAAGCCGGGTCGAAGAACAACTTACAGGAGTATCTGCTCGTTCCATTCGAGAACGTCCTGGTCTACATGTACAGGTTTGTTGGATGTCTGCCATTCAGCGTCGTCGGTTTGTACTGTCACATGAAAGCCAGCTGGTATCCGTCGGAGACCAAGGGCAAGACCAGTTGCGCGAATGGCTTATAAAATTGTCATTACGTGCCGAATGGGGATAGATAGTACATACAAGTAATGGCGACGCGTTGTATTCCATTGAGGCGTGTATCTCCCGGGTCCTGGGGGCGTTCTGGGCTGCTTGGCTCTTCACCCCAGGATGAAATGGTATTGTCGAGTGGATCCGGTACGGCACATGTCATGAAATGAAACAACAGAGTAATGACGAAATAAAGCGTCGCCAGAATAGCTTCAGAAAATCGTCAGCAAGTGCTGCAGCGCTGAATGAGGATAGCTGACACATACTATTACTAGCAACTTGTAACATCTCACTAAACTTGAGATGTGTCTCTTCTGAGTCCTGGGGGCGTTGTCGGTGGCTTGGTTCCCCACCCAAGGGCCCAAAGGAATCATCAAGAGGATGCGGTACAAAGCTTGACATCTGGCTGACTAAGGGAGGGACTACAAACTGAAGTTAAATGCTTGGCGTATTATAAGGAAGAAAATCACAGCATACACGTGTCACCCGCACCGCACTGCGATGCGCAGCGGTGTTTAATATGTCTTTGAATAACCTGGGACCGGGTCAGCCCGAGGGAAGCGACTCGAACTGTGACAATCAAGAATGGGCGTCAGATACGTACAGCAGGGACACATTGTGGAGTTGGGACATTGATCCAAAACGAGCAGGCTGCAAGGCTCAAGACAAGCAGTCCTATTCCACACGATCGATTGCTCACTGCTTATCACGGATGTTCGACTCAGTGACAGAATCGGACAAACATGCGCACAAATCCTGTTCGAGTCCAGATGAGTCCAGGCTTCCATTTGCTCGAGCAACGAGGATATCGACTCACCACCACATGCCATGGGTATCACAACATAGGATTGATCGGGACGTTGCAAGCATCGTCAAACATCGAGTAGGTTCCTTCCGTGATAATATTAATATGGATGTCGGAGTTTATCCAGGAATCTCAAGATCATCCCCAGGGTAACAGTGAATGAACTGAGCATGCTAAGCGTCTGACCTGTGTATATGAAATTGTCAGTAACTGCCACCTGTAAACCTGTAAAATGATCCATTGGCACAGACTCAGCGGGAGGAGTTAGGACAGTGCCATGCAGAAGCAGTTGAAGAACCGCATAAGGGCTCCGCCCACGCGTTCCACTGCCATCACACACTTAAGTATGACCCAGCTTCAAGATCTATGATCCAACGAACCAGTGGTTCGATGATTCGCCTTCATATGGCCTTTGATGCACGAGGGGTTTCGGCCCTCACCACATCGAATCACTTCATTTCACTCATCGCCGTCATCACAGCAATGATCCTGTTGCAATGTACATATTGAGTAAGAGGTGAAGCAATCGATAACCTGAATGATATGATCGATGATCCTTGTGCAGCTGGCTAGTCTTGAAGTTGTTCTCGGACGTCTAGAACCTCAATTACGATCAAGACAGGTCCCAGAGAGGTTCTTTAGAGGTTCCACAAGAAGAAATATTGCGCGCCTGCTGGAAGATATATATATATTCGTCGTGTTTGTGAGCGAGTTTGCATCCTTGACTGCATCCGTCAATGTTGGTTTGATCCCCGGATCACGGTCAGCGTGGTCGCACGCGATGGTGGAGAAAGTCTTTTCATAGCGGCGGTCTGCTTCTTTATGCCGGTCGGAGCAGAAACATGAACCAAGCCCTCCCGTTTCGTTGAACTAGTTAGTGATTGTGTGAGCAATGGCTGATTTGCCCGTGCCGGCAGGGCCAGATAGCCGCAGCATACGCTTAGCAGTATCTCCACTGTCATTGGTCCAGTCAGTGATCTGGGGGAGAATGTCCGTGCGTGTCCCTAGTAGGCATTGTTTCGTGGTATTTAGTCCAGTGCCTGCTGCGTAAGTCATACTGCTGAGATCCAGTGTTTAGCCTGAAGGGTTATGAGTGAATGCAAAGTCAGAAACATGTCCGAATCCTTACCCGTGCAATGGACGAAGATGGCTACGTCTCGAAGAGCTTGGTTCCGAAATTGTTGCATAAGCCTATCCAAAGCGTCGCTGCACCATCATCCGTTTCCGAGACAACGGTTTTCCGGAGCCTTTTCCCTATGATAACGATATAAGATTCACAATGTGCGAAGTGCAATTGCTCGACGACTCACAAAAGCTCTTTGTCTCCAAGTCATCCCTGATGAAACGCGCACTCCTGAGTCTGCTGAGCGATCCATCCGATGATACTGTGCATGGATGAAATCTGGCCAATAGTGTCGTCTTGGGTCATGAAGCGGAACACTTCATCTAATTTCTTGATAAGACGATGTACCGAATGGTCGTGGACTCGTGATCCGCTTGAGCGATAATGATCTTCACATAATCGATAACTGGAGACAAAACTCATGGCAAAACTATACGTACTTCGAATGCAACAGACAGCACACCCGGTGCAATTTTTGCGCAAAGATGTACCTATGCAACTTGATTAGCTCACTTACAACCGACGAGAATGGTCCATACATTTGCGGTCTTCTCAACGGCAGTAGCCCCACTCAGAGGGTTTGGAGATATGTATTCTGGAAATCGTCAGCGTCAGTGAGACCTGCTGGGGTATTTTTGGCAGCCGGTGACGCCACAGATGTCGCAAGCACCCCAAGTGGATTCATGTGTTTTGAAGCCTTATGTGCACCCCGAAGTTCAACAACGACTCGCTGATTCGGGACCAGTACCTGCCCGACCACCGAAATTTAGAGACCAAAAACCGGATCATTGGACAAAAGTACCTGCGATGCCTAAGCCGGTTCCGCGGACGGTCCTTGACACTGGGATTCTCAGACATGGTGGAATGCTGGTCGGCTATGGAAACATGTAGACTATATATGTGTGCCCTGTACATGCCTTCTGAGAAAACTGAATGATCGCGGCGATAACGAGTTGCAGTACCTACCTCAATATTCTGATTCGATGAAGCACCTTCAGGATCGATGTTCTGGACACCAGGAATGCGGTTGCAGAACTGCTTGAAGTATTTCTGCACAATACGATATAAGAAGGAAAGCTCAGGAGTTAAGTCTACGCACAGGGTGCGTATGAACGAAAGGAAGGCAAGGCAAGACGCGTCCCTAGGCCTGTTGAGTTCGAACACTATTTGTTTTGCTTGAAACCCAATCAAAACAAGTCTGCTCATCACCCAAGACTAGGCTCGCGACTAGCCTGACGTATACTACGAGTTACCTACTAGCCTCCCATAGTTGTTCCTAAGAGGGTTACCCAAATCGAGATCTTGTACACAACAAAGACGCATTGAACTTGCAGCTTGAAGGCGCCGCTGTCTCCCCGCCCCATGTCTTCTTCATCAACCGCGAATCCTTCTGCGGCGGACGAAACACTCCGCGCCCAAATCTTCCAGCGACTCCACCCTCGCGTATACCTAGAAAGATTCATCGCCGAAAAAATCAGACCAGACGGACGGACATTCGATGAATGGCGCAACGTTTCTGTGAATGTCGGTATGCGATTCACCCACTTAGCTTTTGCTATTCTTACGCCGCGATGGGCTCACTGCAGGATCGATATCAACGGCTGATGGCTCTGCTCTTGTGCGTATGGGAGATACTACGATCGTTTGCGGCGTCAAGGCAGAAATAGCTGAACCTGAGCTTGATCGGCCTGACCAAGGGTTTTTAGGTGAGTTTTTCATTCTTCTACATATAACAGCAGGAGCTCATTCATTCGAAAATGCGCAGTTCCCAACATCGACTTGCCCGCGATCTGCTCTCCGAAATTCAAACCGGGTCCTCCAACAGAAGAAGCTCAAGTCCTCTCTGATAGATTGAACGAAGCACTCGTCGCGTTCGTCATCTCACTATGTGTTTATATGGTTTTGAACTCATGTCATTTTCTGCTTGTCTGATCCAGCTCAGGCGCGCTTTCTTTAGATTCGCTCTGCATTCACCCCGGGAAGGCTGTGTGGACGCTTTATGTGGATTGCACATGTATAAACTACGATGGGAATGCGTTTGATGCGGCGCTGGTAGCTATGTTGGGCGCGCTTAGAAATAGTAAGTTTTATCTAACGTTTTAGAGTGATAGCGCACGACTGATGCATTGGATCCTAGCTACACTGCCAAAAGCCACTTATGACGACGAAACGGGGCGTACGACGTGTTCGCGAAAAACGAGATCACCTCTACTGTTGAATCGAAATTTTGCTTCGACGTCGTTTGGGGTGTTGGACAAGTACGTTCTCGTCCCCGCCTTCATTGTATCCATAAACTCATATCTATTCCCAGATCGCACGTTCTCTCAGATCCGACTGCATTTGAAGAACCTCTGATGGATGTTACATTGACGGTCATTGTAGACGAGCGAGGGGAACTTATCAGCACGATGGAGTCGGGCGGCGCCATTTCGGAAGAGACGCTGTTGCAGTGTATTAGTAGAGCGAAAGAAAGAGCTTTGCAGCTGCAGAAGCTGTTTTGATTTCATTCGTTGATTTTACTGGACGGGTGATGAGTTTGTCGGTCGGGCGGCGGCCAGGTGATCCGGGCTGCATGATGTCAGATCTGAGTGACACAATAATTTCTGGCAGCTTCAAGATCAGGCATGTCAGAATCAGTACAGAGCATGTGGGAAGCTCGGATCAAAGTGAATATATTGGTGTATCGCTGGGTAATCGGGATACAATTGGATGGTCGACATGAGAGGATCATAGCAGGCAGACGAAGGAAGACATAAGATAGACCACCATCTAAAATTAACCTTGAAGGCTGTAGTGAGCTATGAAAAAAATGTGGACAAAAATGTGCCAAAAATTCCGGGGCCTTGCTGGGAATCGAACCCAGGCCACTTGCACTTGTGATCACCCAAAGCAAGTATCGTACCTCTAGACTACAAGGCCTTGATATTGGTTTAGGTATGATGTCATATATCGTTCAACGTGGGCAAAGCGTTATCAGAGGCTAACACTGGCTGACATTGGGCTGACAGTAACAGTAGCGCAACGATGCCCGCCCCCTCGCATTGCGCCCTTCTGTTTAGCAATTACCATCACCACTGTCTCTACCATGCGCTCTTTAAATCATTCTATTCCTTTAACATCAAGACCGCTACTTACTACTACACTTCCGTCAGCGCGTCTTGCTTCTTCCTCGAGCTTCGACGGACTGGTGGAGATTGTGAGACAGTACGAGGCCAACGAGATGAAGAAGGCTATGGAGGAAGATGCAGCACCTGCGGTCATACCACCTGTACCTATGCGTCGGCCGAACGTGATGTCCATCGCGCACATCTTGTGCTCCGACCCAGCAGTTACACCGTCTCAAGCAACCGTAGAGAGGGCGTACGATGCTTCCACGCCGTTATCTCCCCTACCAGTGGAGTGCAATAGCATGGAGGTATCAAGCGAGTATGAGCCTACGGGTAAATGTTTTGTGTTCTGTGAAGGAAGCGCTTATCAGTCAGCTACTGCCAGTGTCTTTTGAGGATATGAGCGTTTACCTCAACTACTTTGATGAAGATGAGGTAGAGGTTGTTCAGCTCTATGCGCCTATACAGTGGGACGCAGGCTCTCCAGTGCTCGGATGGACGCCTCCTGATGGTTCTGAAGACGTCGTCATCGGCCACGAGGATCTAGCGTGTCCATCACCGATGTCAAATTCAGCCTTCTACCGTGTCCCCGCATCTGAAGAGCCTGAACGTATTGCCGCATACAAACCCACGCAACCCACATGCGTCAAGGCAAAGTCAAAGTCATCGAAGCATCCCCCTGCGCAGCTTCCACGAACACGAGTGGTACTCGCGCCTACTCAACGCACAGGAGTGAAGAGCAAGAGTAGAGAACATAAAGCCAAGTCACGGGTGTCTTGTGGGTACGGGAAACCGCCAAAGGGTGGGATTCCTCCTGCACTGGCTAGGGATGTGACAAAATCTCATGCATTGCGCGCGGAAAAGGAGCGTCAGTGTATACGTGCTGCTGCTGTAAGAGCTGGGGAGGGGAGAAAGCCGAGTGTGCTGCAGAGGGCGAGTGCGCAGACTGAGGATGATATGTCGATGACCTGCTAGTTGTTCTCTCCTCTCCTAGTCCACGATGTCGACACGAGCTTTGTTTAACCTTGAGACAAAGATTATTTTTATTCCCTTCTCGAGGCTTGCCTGACTTGTGTGCTGCGGCAATATTATTGTTAGTTCACTACCCTCCACGATAGCATCAGTACTTTTTGTCATGACCCCTGGTACGATGTCGTGGTATCGACCTGAGCTTCTTTTACCAGATAATTAGCGAAGTCTTTGTTTGCAGTACTGACAATTTTTTGGCCCTTCTGCGATGATATAGATGATGTTCAGAAAAAGACTTGAATCAATTATAGTACATACTTGTGGACCGTGGTCGCCATGTGAGTCGAGCAGTGCCAAAGTACCGCCGTCGTGAGAAAACTATAGTTTAGCTGCAAATAGGCCAGTTTCCCTCTTGCTCAGCTACAACGTTAACGGTCTCATCCGCCTCGTTCCTTCTTTCCCTGCTACATCCATCGTCTTCTCTGCTTCTGCCAGAGCATACCTTTCCTTTCGTTTCTACCCCATTTCTTCTTACTTTTCTTTAGCAGGGTAGTTCGTTAACAAAGCGCTCATCATGAGCCGCCAAGCGTCTGGCATGTCCGTCCACCAGAGGCTCGAGGCCGCCAGCGACCTCTCGGGCTTGTCTCCCATATCAGATGATCTCATAGTCTCATGTCTTCGTGAGCGGTTCATGTCTGAGTCCATCTATACCAACATTGGTTCCAATTCCCTCGTCGCCGTAAACCCCCACAAGTATGTCTCCTCCAATGCAGACTCTGTCCTCCAAAAATACGCTTCAGACTATCGTGACACTTCGGAAAACAAGTCTCCAATACCTCCTCACATTTTTCAGCTCGCAAATAATGCCTATTACCACATGAGACGAACTACCCAGGACCAGTCTATTATCATCAGGCAAGTAACCCTCATCAGTTCCCATCATTTCTTCCTTTTAATCACACCGCCATTTATTTCAGCGGTGAGACAGGCAGTGGAAAGTCAGAGAATCGCAGACTCGCCATAAAGACCCTTCTCGAGCTTTCAGTTTCCAATCCAGGAAAGAAAGGCTCCAAACTCGCTATTCAACTGCCCGCCGCAGAGTTTGTCATCGAGTCCTTCGGTAACGCCCGCACTTTGTTCAATCCGAATGCTTCTCGCTTCGGGAAATACACAGAGTTGCAGTTCACTGACCGTGGCCGCCTCTCCGGTGTCAAGACCCTCGACTATTATCTCGAGCGCAACCGTGTCTCATCTGTGCCTTCCGGAGAGCGCAACTTCCATATTTTCTACTACCTCGTGGCAGGTGCAACTTCGGAAGAGCGCCAGCACCTCCACCTCTTGGACAAAACCCAATACCGCTACCTCGGTCAGCGTGGAGCAGTCCCAGCGCGCCAAAACGGCGTTCGGGACGATGATGCAAACCGCTTTGAGCAGCTCAAAGTTGCACTCAAGTCAATCGGTTTGTCCAAGCGCCACGTCGCTCAGACATGCCAGCTTCTCGCTGCCATCCTCCACCTTGGCAACCTGGAGTTCACCGTTGACCGTGGTCGTGACGTTGACGCCGCTGTCGTGCGCAACACAGATGTCCTTGCCATCGTTGCCGAGTTTTTGGGTGTCCAAACCAGTGCTTTGGAGGGCGCAATGTCCTACAAGACCAAGCTTATGAAGAAGGAGCTCTGCACCGTCTTCCTTGACCCTGATGGTGCATCTGACAACCGAGATGACCTTGCAAAAACCCTGTATTCCCTTCTCTTTGCATGGTTGAACGAGCACATCAATCAGCGGCTGTGCCGCGAGGACTTTGACACCTTCATTGGTCTTTTCGATCTCCCTGGACCACAGAACATGACCAGCCGTCCCAACTCTCTTGATCAGTTCTGCGTCAACTTTGCCAACGAGCGCCTCCAAAACTTTGTCCAGAGACGTATCTTCGAGGCTCACGTTGATGAATACCAGAATGAGGGTATCTCACGCTTCGTTCCCACAGTCCCCTACTTCGACAATACCGAGTGCGTGCGGCTACTTCAAAACAAGCCGGGTGGTCTTATCCACATCATGGATGACCAGGCTCGTCGCTCGCACAAGAAGACTGACCATTCGATGGTGGAAGCCTTTGGCAAGCGTTGGGGCAACCACTCGTCGTTCAAAGTCGGTGCTATCGATCGCTCTGGTTTCCCCACATTCACCGTCAATCATTTCAACTGGCCCCGTCGCTTACTCCGCTGAGGGCTTCTTGGAGCGTAACCTTGATGCCCTCAACCCTGATTTCGTCTCTCTTCTCCGTGGCTCGACCTCGGGAGTTGCTGACGGTGCAGAGGGTGCTGGGTCGATGAACCCCTTCGTCAAAGGCCTCTTCTCGGGCAAGGCTATCGCCACACAAGCACACCCCAAGAACGAAGACACCATCGTCGCTGCCCAGCAGCCCGTCAAGCCCATGCGTGCCCCATCCACCCGGCGCAAGGGCACAATCAAACGCCTTGCCCTACGCTGCGTGAGGGCGGTATCGAAGAGCAAGATCGGGATGATGACGACATCACCGCTGCCGCCAGCAACGGCACACCCTGCGTCGCAGGCGAATTCCGTTCCGCACTCGATACCCTCTTCGATACCCTAGCAGACACGCAGACCTGGTACGTATTCTGCATCAACCCGAATGACTCGCAGCTGCCCAATCAGCTCGAGGGCCGTTCCGTCAAGGGTCAAGTGCGCAGTCTGGGTTTGACAGAGATTGCTAAGCGGAATGTGAATGTGTTTGAAGTGGGGATGACGCCGGAGGAGTTTTGTCAGAGGTATAGGGATCCAATGTTGGCTTTGGGTGTTTCGGAGGGAAGTCCGAGGGAGCGTGTTGAGCAGACGAGGACCGCGCTGACTTTGAGGGAGCGGGATGTTGTTCTTGGGCAGTACAAGGCAAGTCCTTTGGAAGTGCGGCTGAGATATTTGTTGAACATCTTTTGTAGGTGTTCATGTCACAAGCGGCGTTCCACTCGCTCGAGGACCGTATTCGTGCGTCGGACGTTGAGGAGCAGAAGCGCAACCGTATTCGCGATGCTGAGGCAGAGGCTGGACTTGATGTCCGTGGCTTCGGCGATCCATATGCTCCTTACTCTTCGCCCGGCGCTAATAACGGTGAAGAGTCGCCGTTCGTCAATGCCTTCTCGGACCCTGCTCTCCCTCTTGTCTCCAACGCCTCTCCCTTCCAGCGCGCTGACCTTTATGATGACGAGTACGACGAGCGCAAGTCTTTCCGCAGCGACGACTTTGACAACCGTAGCCGCCTCACGAGCAACCGCGACGACTCGAACTCCAACTACGGCACTGAATCCTATGCGCCCTCTCGCAACATGTTCCAGAACGCCGACAAGGAAGGTCTCATGGTGAAAGAAGCGCTTCCTGGTGAGATCGGCGACAGCGAGACGACAGAAATAGTCAAGGAAACTTCCGCGCGTCGTCGTTGGGTCGCGGTGTGTTGGGGCCTAACGTGGTGGATGCCTTCCCTCCTCCTTCGATGGGTCGGCCGAATGAAGCGCGAGGATGTCCGACAAGCATGGAGAGAAAAGCTCGCTATCAATTTCATCATCTGGTTCTTCTGTGCATGCGCTGTTTTCGTCATCGTCTTTCTTGGCGAGGTCATTTGCCCCACGGAGCACGTTTTCAGCACGTCTGAATTGGCGTCTCATTCATATACGTCTTCGCCGAATAATGTGTATACGTCGGTGAGGGGCGAGGTGTTTGATCTTACGACTGTTGCGGCGACGCATCAGCGCGTTGTTAGTGTTGTGCCTATCAAGAATATCCTTCAGACGTATGGGGGCACTGCTTCGGACAAGATCTTCCCTGTTCAGGTGAGTAGGGTTCGTGCAGTGGTTTAGGTTTTTCTGAATGGTTCTTCTAGGTCTCTGCGTTGTGTAATGGTGTGAGCGGCACAGTCAGCCCCTACGTTACACTCAACTCTGCCAACGACACCGACCCGAACGCCGCGTATCACGACTTCCGCGCGTTCACCAACGACTCCCGTCCAGATTGGTACTTTGAGAGCATGACCGTCATGCGATGGAACAACCGCGTCGGATATATGGGTTACACGCCAGCGGAGATCAGCACCATGGCCAACACTGGTTCTTCGCTCGGTATCTACAACGGTCTGATCTACGACCTCACGAGCTACGTCAACTACGGCCCAGCCGTTCAACCTCCGTCTGGCCAGCAACTTCCAGGAACCATCGACGATCAATTCATGGACTCGAGCGTCGTCGGCCTTTTCAAGTACAACTCTGGACAAGACCTGACCAAGCAATTCGATGCTCTCCCTCTCGATTCTGCAACTCTAGATCGTCAACGGACCTGTCTTCGCAACTTGTTTTTGATCGGTATGGTGGACAACCGTAATTCGCCGCAGTGCCAATTTGCAGAGGGTATCCTACTCGCGCTTTCTATATTGATGGTCAGCATCATCGGGTTCAAGTTCATCGCTTCCATCAACTTTGCGGCTCCTCGTGCGCCTGAAGACCACGACAAGTTTGTCATCTGCCAGGTTCCTTGTTATACCGAAGGCGAGACTTCTTTGAAGCGGACCATCGATTCGCTTGCGCAGCTCAAGTACGATGACAAGCGAAAGCTTATCCTTGTCATTTGTGATGGGAATATTGTGGGTTCTGGGAACGACCGTCCCACGCCGCGCATTGTGCTTGATATCCTGGGAGCTGATCCTAATCTCGACCCTGAGCCGCTTAGTTTCGTCTCCTTGGGCGAGGGCGCGAGGCAGCATAATATGGGCAAGGTCTATTCGGGTCTCTACGAGTGCGCTGGGCACGTCGTTCCTTATTTGGTTGTTGTGAAGATCGGAAAGCCGTCTGAGCGTTCGCGCCCTGGGAATCGTGGAAAGCGTGATTCGCAGATGGTGATCATGCATTTCTTGAACAAGGTGCGTCTTTTTTCTTTTGGGATGGTGGGGTTGGCGTTTAATCTGGAGCTGCGCAGGTTCACTTCAGTACGCCTATGAACCCGCTCGAACTGGAGATGTTCCATCAGATCAAGAATGTGATTGGTGTCAACCCGACTTTCTTCGAGTACTTGTTTACGGTCGATGCTGATACGACGGTGGAGCCTTATTCTGTTAACCGGTTGATCTCTGCGTAAGTCAATGTTCGTCGCTCTGGGAATTGAATTGGGGCTAATGGTTGTCTGTAGGTGTATTCATGACAAGAAGGTGCTTGGTGTTTGTGGTGAGACTGAGCTTTCGAACGCGAAGCAGTCGATTATCACGATGATGCAGGCGAGTTTTTATTAAATTTGTGAAGACGTTGAAAATTCTGATGAAAATATAGGTTTACGAGTACTTCATTTCGCATCACATGGCTAAGGCTTTCGAGAGTTTGTTTGGATCCGTTACTTGTTTACCGGGTTGTTTCACGCTCTATCGTTTGCGGACGCCCGATACCCACAAGCCCCTGTTGATATCCAACCAGATGGTCCAGGACTACTCGCAGAACCGTGTCGATACCCTGCACATGAAGAACCTGCTGCACCTCGGAGAAGATCGATACCTTACCACGCTCCTCCTGAAGCACTTCCCGATGCACAAGACCCAATTCGTTCGCGACGCCCATGCGTTCACCGTGGCACCTGATGACTGGAAGATTCTACTCTCTCAACGTCGTCGTTGGATCAACTCGACGGTTCATAACCTGGGAGAGCTGATGTTCTTGGAGCAGCTTTGTGGTTTCTGTTGTTTCTCGATGCGGTTTGTTGTCATGATCGATTTGGTTTCGACTATTATCCAGCCTATCACTGTCGGTTACGTGCGTCAGGTTTCTTTTATGGTTTCTCCCTTGGATCCTGACGTGAAGTTATAGATCGTGTACCTTATTGTGGAGGTCACCACCAACCAGGAGACCCTTCCTATCATCTCGCTTGTCATGATCGGCGCTGTGTATGGTTTGCAAGCCCTCGTGTTTATTCTCCGGCGCAAGTGGGACATGGTTGGATGGATGTTCTTCTACATCCTGGCTATCCCGATCTTCTCTCTCATGCTCCCGCTCTATTCATTCTGGCGCATGGATGACTTCTCCTGGGGTGCTACCCGTGTCGTGTTGGGTGAATCTGGGAAGAAGATCATCGTTCATGTGGGTCTCCTCGTCCTTGTTATTTGGAACGATATTGATGGTATTTTTTTATTCAGGACGAAGGCAAGTTCGATCCGCGTGCGATTCCTCTCAAGTCTTGGAATGATTATGTGCGTGGTTTTGGGTCCTTTGCAGACATGTTACTGATTCCTATCTACAGGAGAACGAGCTTTGGGACAAGGAGTCGAACCACAGCATCGGCTCGTGGGTACCTCCCCCTCAATTCAACAAGGAAGGATACGCCGCATCAGCCACTGCATCCCTGTACGGCCGCGAGACCTACTACGAGCCACGCAGCCATTCGCCTGCACCATCACAATTCGGCATGATGCCACCCCCTGGATATCAATCAGGTCGCAACACGCCAATGTCACAATTGCGGCCCATGAGCGACGTTGGAATGATGTACCAGCCCATGCCGTCGCGGCCGCCAACAAACTATCTTGACATGCCCATGCCGCCCACGCGCAGTCATGAGGAATTGTCGTCGGGTGCTCCTACGGATGCTGAGCTTGATCATGCCGTCCATGAGATCCTCCGCACTGCTGATCTCAACTCTGTGACCAAGCGAGAAATACGGCGCCAGCTCGAAGAACGGTTCGGGATGGACTTGACCTCACGAAAGGGGACGATCAACGCCGCGATTGACCGGGTGTTGCTTAGCCAAGCATGAAATAGGACTGTGGTATTTAGACACGGGACGGACAGAAGGACTCATACGCAGTACCAGAACGCGAACAGAACGCTATGTTTCGATGGTGGATCTAATTACGAACCTAAACTTATGTGACAGACATGCCCTTGGGTCGACTTCTTTTCTTTTGACATTTTTTTAAATACCGTAGGACGTTCGTTACTGCTTTGCTAGTGGGGTTCTTTATATTCCATTCCTTTCATTGGACATTGCATTATATCATGTGTTTTAGATACGAAATTGCGTAGAGATGTCTTGGACACAATAGCAATCTGCATCGAAGTGATATGTGCGGTTAAGCAGAACCCATTGAAATTGAATGGAAAGATTTTATGCCAGGTACCTGGTTCCCATGTACTTGTCCCGCTACATATCAGCTCTATTTTTGGGACTATCATAGACCTATATAGCATGCAGCAAGGTCATTCACCACGGCAGAGAACTCAGGATTATAAGTATCATATCCAGTGAACTGCGACGCCATACAATCAGGAATAACTATACATCACTCGCTGACGCTCCCGACGAAAGGATTGAAATTATAGTACGTACATCCGTTTTGGTTCACGTACATCGAGCCATGGGTGTCGACAACTGTTGTGCCAGTCCCTGCTGATTGCGATATAGGGGATTTGTGAATCCTCTGGGGGAACGGCACGGAACCCATAGTCACACCCGCACCAGCGGTGAAATTTACTGTGTTGCTACCTATGGCAAGTGTGATGGTTGCAGTGTCTTTGAGCATCGCGAGTGCAAAAACGGCGTCCTCGGGGTATGCAGCATTGCGTGGTAGGGATCCCGGTACTGCAATTGACGGCTTTCGGCCATGCACGATACCAGAAGACAACCTCATCTTTCTATATGAAAAGAATGCTCAGAATTGGCAATTGAATGCCAATTATATTTATTGAGTGGCTTACCGTGATGGTAGGTGCAGAGCCGGTCTTGAACCACGAGATATAGTACTGAGCTACATCTCGCCAAGCAGCATGGACGAAACCATCGACGTAAAGTGGAGCTTGTGTCCCAAGGTACACCTAAGTCGCATGTTAACTCGAGCTACAAGATTCGGCGACAGTATGACGAGTTACATTTGGATTTATATCACCAATGTAATGGGACTCGCCATAGTCGTTCCAAGTCACTAGATTACGTTGAGCTGTGGCCAACACAACAATAATAACGAGATAATACCGATTTCAACAATGTCAGGTTTCACGTCATTTACAGCTTGCTGCCAGCGGTAGTTCCAGAGAGTGTCGCTATATTCTACCCAATCGCCGGCGCCATCGAGGTTCTTGAACTGCCAAGGTGAGACAGCTTGATTGAATGTCAACGAAAGCCAAGAAGATTCGAACTACTACTACTCACACATGATATAGGGTCCACTGAGCGATGAGACAGCTGCTTGATAGGCTAAATCTGTGGCTGTCGTCAAGTTTGCGTCGACATCGGCAGGCCTGGAGATATGTTTGGTGACAGAACAGGCTCTTTGGGACCTCACCTACCAGGACCACCAATTGAAGAACCCATCGATTGAGGGAAACGTAGACACGAGTGAAGTAGCATCCGAAGGGTCACGATAAGTTGTGAATGCGGGTGCAAGTGTGATGTCGATGCCTTGGCTCTGAAGTGTGCTCTTGAAGCTAGCCCAGAAGTCCTCACCATAACTTTCCCCTGAATATGTCGATACAAGTATGGTGTCCTTCCAGAGGAATGTACTTGGACTTGACGAATGATTGGCGACGATATTGACCATGTCGCTCTGCTGCCAAGTGTACGTCATATCAAAGGAATACAAGAGCTTGAAGCCCAAACTTTCCGCGGCTGCATATGCATCGACAATCCTGTCGACTTCATAGTCGTTTGCAGCAATGTTCAATGCTAAATGTTAGGCACATGAGTGGTTGAACGGTAGCGACACTTAAAAAAGCATACCAAAGCCATCGATACCAATGCTCTGAGCAGTCGTTATATCATTTGTCCAATCACTTTCGGCATATGAATACGAGTTTGGGGCCTGTAACGACGAGGTTGTTGACAGGACGTACAGCCGAAGGAAGAATATAGAAGACTAGCCATGAAATGGGCGAAAACTATCTGCGCATTTGTGACTTGCGCTAAGGCAGCACATGCCAGGGAGAGGAACGTGAGCTTTTGCATAGTCTGAATCGTGACCCTCGAAAACACGATCTCGCCAAATCAGCCTGTTAAGTTGGAAGGAAGTTGAAAAGTACGAACCACTCTGCAGTTAGTTGACAGATACGAGCCGGATGCTCCTAGATCAGGAAAAGGAAGTTCCGATCAAAGACACGCGGGACGTAGCAAGGTCAGCATGCTGCCTTGGATTCGCAAGCAGCGGCGATCTCTTTTTGGTGTTAGCTAGTTCAGGTGGTACAACACAGTTCATTTTACAGTTTCAACTCGCTTCTGTCCAAGGCCTCCAAGCTCTTCAAAGTGCTCTCGGACACGAGTTCGGTGACTCTTCCATATTCCAGAACCTCGTACTCGGTTAAAATTCTTCGGTTCCCTGAAATTGCGTCACTTAGAGGAACGATCACCATCCAAACTCAGTCATGCACAGGCCATAGCCTCGAGGTTTTTGAGTAGAATGCCAGCATACGAATTTCAGAATTCCTACCCGCTATAAGTCATGCATGACGCGACGACCGCCCTCCCTCCCGCTCATGGTAACAAAGACCTATGCTTGAGGACACCTGATGGCACGCGCTATGGAAACCAATAGTAAGCTTGATGCAAAGATCCGCGAGCCGCTCAATCTTCAACGTGGACACAAATCAAATCTTCGAATGAGTCAGCAGCTTCCGAATTCAACAACAACAAACATCATGCGCTCAGATTCGATACTGAGTAGTGGCCTTGTTGCCGTTGCATCATCGACAAATACAGTAAAGGGCTTCTAACTAGACCCCAGATCGGTGTTCAATAAAGCCGGATAATAGATGATGGTCGTGGCAAGCTCAGCCGATCGCTACTCCTGGTTCAATTATCCCCTAGATATGAGTAGCATGGTAAGCTCCTCTTCATTCCTAATAAATCAAGGTTTTTGGATTCCTTTGTCACGGTGGCTGGTGAGGGTTGGTAGGCGATTGTGCGCTGCAGGCCCGTGCAGCTATGGCTGCTAGGCGACAGGAATCGCCTGATTTTTTTTTCTACCATAGTCTTATAGACAGCTGCGTATGAGGTTCTGGCTGATGGTAGTCTGAATTTACCCATGTTGGCTGATTTCAAAATAGTTTGCACAAATTCACTCCCGGCTGCGTGAGTCATTCTGCTCGAGCTAGTCAACCAGAGCCTCTGAGAGCTGATGTATCAGACTCGATACCCGTAAAATACTCGCATTCCCGACACTTGCGTCGTTGAGGTTTCTACCTTTCGCGTCAACGACACCCTATCTGACAGTGATGAACTGGGGGGGCATTAATTAATTAGACTGTCTGTAGGTTTTTCGGCCGTTTATCCCAAGTCTACTGCTATGCTTTGTAGATTCGTCTTTGATAGTGCATTTTTCTGCTCGGTGGTGTATCAAAATCAACTCTGTGTTAGTCGACACTGATGGCATACTCGCCTCAACTCGGCAATGATTAACATAAACCGTAGGTACCTCATCCATAACAAGAGCCTTTGAATGCCAACAGCACGCGGCATGCACAGCAATTGTTTCTTGCTCACGAGATCAGATGCGATGTGTTTGCAGTCTGAACGCAGTAGCAAGGGTCTCGCATCCATCAAATATGGGAGAGTCGAAGTCCCGAAAACGTTCAAATTGATCGTGCCAGTGCAGTGGTCTCTGATGCATGGTGGGTCGCCGTCAGAATGCACAGGAGTGCACGCGCCGAAGAGATGTCGATCATGCGTCTCCGGATCAATCAAATTATACGACTTCTGTATCCTGGATTCCTGATGCCCGCCGAACACAGCGTCGAACGACTACTGAAGATCATCGGTCCTCGAATCACATGAATTCAATGAAATAACACCATGCAGAGCCCGGGATAAAACTGATGTGTGCGATGGAGGCTCTGTCGTGCCCTGGAAACCACCCCCACACATTCCCCTTCAATCAAATGGCACAGGACGAATGCCTGAACCCTCGATTTTCTTTCCTGGCTCTCGTTCCTGTTGGGCTGCCGCAAATGCACTAGGTACGGGTATGCCACAACAATCACCCCATCCTTCGTGTGCATGACCATCCCCGCGGTGCGGTTCATCAGAAGCTGGAGGCGGAGGTCCTTCGTATGGAAGAATGGATCCAAACAGGAAATGTTGCATGACAGGGAGCTTCCCTAGAACTTCTGCTTGATACATCTTGATCATACCGGAATTGACTTTTTCCCAAGTCTTCACCTATACAGCAAATTAGACGAGGTTCACCGAGGGTCACAATACGCACTGCTGATATGTCATCCAGCATTGGCGAGTGCCATCTGAGTGAGGCTGTCTTGATCTAAATCCAATTATTGAGATTGCAACTAAGTACGCGACAAGAAAGATACGAACGGAGTTGATGAACTTTATGCATGAGAAGTACATATAATCCTTTGATAGTTCATCTACGATCTCTGCATCATGTATTGCCTTTGGTCTCACAAACCTGTGTCCTGCAGTGGAAAGATGAGTCAGGGTCAAGTGCTCTGTAACCAACTACATATGGCATACCTCGTAGTTGAGCGGAACCAAAGAGGAAAGGCAAAAAATGATAATCGTCGAGACCCCAGACGCCATGAGATCCAGCAGGTTCTAGCCAATACGTTGATTGAAGTACGCGCATGATTTGAATATATCTGCGAGGGATGAGTAGGGAACCAAGTAGCCCTCTTGCGAACGCACCTCCAGAATACGCGTGTAACCAGCATGGTGTGGTCACTTGCCCCAACAACCTGCAGCTGATCTAGGCATACACTGTGAAATGTTATACGAGGATCAAGCAAATCAAAATATAAAACGACTTACAGCCAGCAGAGAAAATTCAGTTCCATACCACTCCCATAGTCAATGCGTTCACGATTTCCCCAAGCCTGCGAGAAATACGTAGATAACTCCGGTATAACATTTGGATCTAGGCCGGGAAGGGTAGCATGCAATGACGGCGCCAACTTGAACACGGCGGAGGTAAGTATGAGACACGAAGGGCGAAAATAGCCAGACCAACAGTTTGGACTTTGTCGTAGAACGACCTGAAAGCAGGGTTGCCAAATCTCGATGCCTTGTTCTCGACTGGGGGAGTCTCATGAGCCAGTTGCTCTATTTGATCCAACAAGCGGAGGATGGCGTTTATTCCCTGAGCTTGCGCGAGAAGAATGGATTAGATGCAGGAACAAATTTGAAGAAGGAAGCGCACTGGAGATTCTGAGCACGGGTCAGTAAGCCTCACACCCACTACGGAAGCATTCAGAACCTCGATGTACGAGACGATGGTGTTGTAAGTAGCAGACGATTGAAACGCAGTCAATTGCGCACTGGACAAGATACGCTTGACTGGAATCTCGAAGGCCATCGACATCGTGGTACTAGTAATACTAATAATAAGTCAAGGAAGATTCCACGACGATGTCGGATTTACCCGACTACATCTATTTCAGCGAGTCGGGGACGTACGTCATTGTCTGTCCTAAAATATGGCTCTCGAATCTCACCCCTTCTCTTGCACGCGCTTTTCACGCTGACTGATTGTCGCGGTAGTCTCTGGATACTCCTCGGGTCTTTTTCTGTAAAACGTTGCCCCACCTGTTTATGTACATCAACCGTTGATTGGTTTGGCACTCTTGCGGACGCCGTGGAAAAGAGGACGACCGGCTTATACTTTCTAGTGACAGTCTGACTGCACACCGTGCTACTAATGGGATGCCACAAGGATGCCATAACAGCACTTGGCTGCGTACCGTCGGACCGCTTTCCAATGGCTTTCAATGATAGCACTGGATGGGTAAAAAGCGCCTGCCCAAATCTCAAGGTCGCATTTAACACCGGAAGCACTTTTCAAGTTTCTGTTACTTATGCTGCTCCAAAGGTCAGTTCACAACTTCACATGTTTGAAACCCCTCTTCAACCATAGTATTAAGCACCTCCGCCACCTCGCGAATCGGCGACTGCTTGGTACCTCAAGTACGAATGGAAAATCAGACACGCGGCCGCCTACGGTTGTTGGGTTATTCGGTCTGCCCACCATATGCACGGTGAGTCAACGCTCCAAGAACTGGCGCTATGTCGATGTTTGCATCATCACCAACAGGACCGCTCACCTTCGACTGTCTACCACCTCCAATTTCCTCTGTCTTACATATAGCTTTTAATAGTAGCCGAGGCCTCACACTTGAACTGATCTCCGTTGCAATCATGATTTAAATACAGCCCTTGATGCTTCGCACATACTATTTTCGGAGGACAGCGAGATGTACGATAATCTCACTACATCTTTGACAAGACGAGCTGCGCAGCGGCAATCACTTGTATTATAATATTTACCGTCAGGCACTCTCAGAAGTCTGCGGTCATCGGGTGCTCGAACATGTGCTACGAATGAGGTACCACTGTGAGTCAGTGACAAATTGTTGTCTTGCAAACATGCAAACCCATGGACTCTTGATGTAGGAAGGATATGGCGCTCATAACTGAGATCCTCCAATGACAGCGATGCAACAACTCATTTCCGCAATGACGCCAGCAATTCGTGTTTATATTGAAGTAGAATGTAGTACTGAGAAGTGCCGTGCTTGACGATTTGGCTCTTCATGTGACATGACAGCTCCGATACGAATGGGATTGAGGCGTTGGAACTATTAAGGCAGAGTTGAGGTGAGCAGGGGGTCCAATAGGATGGTGCACGGTTGAAGTCTGTCAGCACTGAGGCATTAACAGTACAAGATAACAGATTCAAGAGAAAAGGTTGTACAGTACAGGTGGGGCTATTCGGAAGGAAAGAGACAGATATGTTCATGTCTAGCGAGATAAGAGGGCGCCTACTCGACTAAAGGATTCACCTGGATCATTCCGAATGACATAGTGACAGGGCCGCAAGAAAAGAGTCCTTCAATTCCGGAAGATAACGATGAGAGTATTTTACTTTGTTGAGAGAAAAGACTAAAGTACCCGAAGCGTTCATGGAGATGGTGAAGACTCTTGTCGGTCACAAACTTCCTTCGACCTTGCACAAGAGTAGTCGGTTACCGCATACCATGCTGCGGCATCGATTAACATCTTTGACGACGTCAATCTTGGTCGTGGCAGAACTTACCAACCAACAGAGTCACTCTGCAGGAGGGGCTATAGCTATGGTCCTGAATAGATCTCCATCAGATGGAGAAAGCTAGACGTTTGCAGTGGGGATGGGTGATCATGGCACTGAGCATGAGCAGCGATAATACAATTATTACGAACAGATAAGGAGAAAGTCAGCGATAGTGCTGAAGAAAGGAGACGATAGTGGCTCACAGCTGAAGTAGAAAGAGCGGGCCAAAGTTCTGGTCAGAACAAGTAGCCACTGCCAACAACGCCACTATCAGCATCACATGCATTGTTTTCGGAACGAAGAGCCCAGTATGCAGCCCATAGTGGATTAAGAACACGATTACACTCATTTGGGCTAGCTATTGTGCAACACAAGGAAAGCTGTAGTTTCCCGGATTCCTGTGTGAGAGCGCTGCACCAGAAGATCATTGATGAGCTCTGAAGTGAGTTAGACCAAGCGGGTAATTATTCTGCCTTCCATCAGGGTGTCACGCGACAACTTGCAAGTTCCCACCGTTTTTTTTGCCATGTTGCTTAGTCTCGAAGCATAGCATAACGACAGCAAATTTGGATAAGTCTCACTGTTTGCTGAAACACTTTTCAACATTAGACATAACAGAGGTAAATTGGATAAGATCAGGCTGCGTACACACCGGTAGAGTGGGAAATTCAAAAACACTCGCTCCAAGGCGTGACGGAAAGGCTGCCATGAACGATTGTGGCGCTTTGTAAGGCCGGTCAGACCGCCTGTTGACGAGGGCTGTAATCATTAATGGTTGAAGCCAGTCATGGTAAAAATAGATCCCGAGCCTCAACTCCCAGCACATGCTACATGAGACTACACGCTGTCCTTCAAGCTTCAAGCATGGCTATATTGTCGTTGCAGTTCAAAATTTGCGGCCGTGGCTGAGATGAACGACACACATGATGGTGTCCGTCGTTCTTCGGGTGTGCCAGCAAGTTGTGTCTGAAACCAAGAGTCATGACTAGTCGCAGAAGTCTGGCAGGGAGTACTGGCCAAAGTGTTTAAGCCACTTGATGTGCAAAGAGGTTGGTCGAGGCGCCGCCATAAGTACGCTGGTGAATTTAGCTGGGTCCCAGATTTGCGGAACGGTTGTGTAACATGGGCCGCGGAGCGTTCCTGACTGAAACATGAAGACAGCGTCGAACTTGATATCGACAATAATTGTGATGCGGCCGCGGCCGCGACATATCAGAGACATTCAGATATTTCATTCCCACCCTCGGCTCCGAGTCGACCTTGTGGTGAATGCAACAGATCAAACCTCATCTGGCAGGTGGTGTGGTCGTCGCCAACGAGTGCTCTGGCAGTCCTGTGAGTCTGTCGGGAAAGGCCCAGGACACGTGAGGCGTCACGGCGTGGAAGACGTTGATTTAAATTATTCTCCACAACATATACGTAAGTATATTTGCCTGTAATTGCTAGTGGCTCGGATGGTTCTCGAGGAGACATCTCTTGCTGATATTCGCTTTTCATTCACATTCACACACGGTCGTTTGTCAGTATCGCGTCTCCGTATTTGTGTCGATTCTTACCATCGGAAGGGTGACTTCAATGAGTTGTGCCAGTTCGTGCACCACGTACGGGCAAAAGTACGCGTGTGAGAGCTGTTACTGTACATACAGTGAGTAAGCTCTTCCAGAATTTTCAAATTGTATGTAAGTATCCTTCACGCTTTCAATCATGATCATGATGCGACCTTTTTGACAGCGACCACTCGGAATCTACGAGTAGATAAGAATGAAGTTCAAGTGCCGCTGCCAAACAGTACCAGGTCGGACTCCGACAGACATCTCCTGACCTCCCAAGGGCCAGGGGAGGCCAGGGGGGCTCCGGCTTTTCTATCACCGGCGGCTTCTCGCGAGCTTGTGAGTGGAAGTCTATTGATATGCAGAAATCAAGATCTCCTTTTCCCAAACCAGCGTGTTTGATTGCATGTCTATTTTGATCAGTGCTTATACCAAGGTCGTTCACCTCTTTGCTTCATGTGTCCACAAGGGATCATCAAACGCGGTGACAATTCGGGGTACGTGCGATAGATTCTGCAATCGCTTATTACTAGACACGAGAGCACGAGAGCAAGCATTTTGCGTTCCTCCGTCTCACTTACCGCATGTCGCTTGGCAGGCAACCTAAGCTACTATGGCGCTGACAATCTCGAAAGCTGAGCTCATTGGTGTCTTTTTGGAGTCGTTAGCATATGGTTTTGTCATCCCGTCTCTGCGCATGCCCCATGCTAATCCTTGACTAGGTGTATACCTGATGGTGTTCAACCAGTGCATGTTTGTGCTAAAGAAGAGACGTTCCCGGCCAAGTGATTACTTGGTTGGGACTGCAGTTTCGCTGTTCGTTCTCATCACAGCAGTACGAGTCTCCTCGACCAAGCATTATCCATATATCTTATGGGTAACTCTCTAGCACCTTGTTATCGATATCCTGCGCAATATGGAGGCTTTCACCTCAGACGAGGCAGATCCAAATTATCCAACCCAATATTATCAGAAATTCGACACTTGGCAAAACTATGTCAAGAGTGCTCTATATGTCGCTGTCACGCTGGTGTCCGACGCATTCCTTGTACGCATCATAAACACGTCATGATTCAAATCTGAGCATTTCGGCAGTTATACCGCTCCTTCATTCTATGGGGTAGAAATTACTTCATCGCCACCTTCCCTTTCTTGTTATTCATTGCGGACATTGGTTTGTTTGTTTCTGCCGTTCTACTACTGCAACTGACATAGAACCTAGGTATCGGGGTTTTCTGGGTATACACCCTGAGCCTTATCGTTCCGGGTGAAAATGTTTTCGCTGATGCCCTCTCTATCCGCGTCAAGACATTCTACTCAATTACTCTTGTCATGAATGTCATCTGCACATGTTTGTCTTTTGCCTTACGTTGGGGCTCGGTCTGAAGTCTCATTCCAGCGCTGATTGCCTTCAAGATTTTGAAGATCCAAAAAGCAGTTGCACCCTTCACCAAGGGTACCGCGGACCAAATTTCCCGTTTGTTGCCAATCATAGTTGAATCAGGTAAAATTGTTAGCAATACCCTCTTTGATATTTGTTCACGCAACGATAGGTTCTGCGTACTCAGCCTTGCTTGTGGTAATGATTGGAACATACACTTCCCAGTCGCCAGCCATGTTCATCTTTTTGAATTCAGTAAGTCAGCCATTTTTCCGCGAAAACTGATCTAATGCGATATTAATCAAGATGTCACCAATCATCGTGAGTTCTGTGATATTTTGATTTTACGATCCGCTCACCTATGTCCGACATAGGGCATTGTGGTATGTCGATCGCCTCGCACCGTTTCTCCGCCCTTTCTTACGTGCTACATTTCTCCAGTTTTCTTCCGTGATCGTCCGTGTCGGTCTTGGTCTCTCTCACGGCGATTCCCATCAGGGTGGCACGGTCTCTTCGCGAAATGTTCAGTGGGTGACGCGTGCGAGTAGCAGACCTGCAAATACTCCACAGATTTATTCTGCGCCATTCCCCGAGGGTGTTCAAGTGTCGTTGCAGCAGACTATACACACTCACACCGACGGCTTCCCGGACGACGTCGAGAGTGACACCACAAGCCCACATTCAGAGTACAAATCCGGCTCTTTCCATGCTATGTAACACCGGAGGAAATGTGTGTCGACTGTTTATTAAACATTCATTGCCACGTTACTAATGCAACCAAGAATCCAGCGAAAAAATGTTCGTCTGTTGACCTGAGGCGTAGTGTATAGATAGCTTCGATCCACGGACATGGTCACAGACATTGTTGAATACCATAGTTGAACATTGAGCCAGCACCCCCGATCTTCCGAAGGCACAGGCTTTACGGGGGCTCCTGTATACAATATACCCATGACACAGTGACACTAAACGAATGGACGGGATTCCATAAATGACTAGGTCGTCTTGATTGTTGCTTGGCTGGTAACATGGTTCAGCGACTTCCCTTGTTTCGTCGACTCACGGTGACAGTTCGTTCTGGGGATGTTACGGCCATCCATGTATCCCGCACGAGAACCAGAGCAAGTGAAATATCGGGGATGCGTGCCCCGCACTGCTAGCTTGTTGCTGTTGACACACGTTCAGTATGTCTTCAGTTCAGCTACAGTTCATTCTTCCTTGTGAATTCGTGGCGCATCTTCATGCCGTGAGGTAAGATAATTAACTTGAAACTCTATTACCGATTTGATGAACTTTATGAAGCACAAAGGGTGTCAAGATTTCAACATCCCGCAGGTCTGTATCACGCCACAGGTTCTGCAACTACTTAGGGGTGACTCTAGCATAAGGGAGGCTCCAGCCGACAAAAGCGCGTGTCTCATGAAATTGTCAACCAAGCAAGTGAGTTGCGAACTTTCGTAATGGCAGCAAGTCCGAATCTCTCACCTTTTCCGCGTGTCCGATTTTGTTCTGGCAATCACAAGGGCATTGAATTTTACGCTGCATGGAACTTCATCGATTCACCATATTGGAGCAGGGTCGAGGGGCCGAAGGCCACAACTGAGAAGACTGGCTGACTCGGAGATGATGGATGCGTGGCCTATGTCCTGAGAGCCCCCTAGTCTAATGTGACCTTGCTTACTTCTCCCGCGTGACATCAAAGCGCGATGTAAATACTACAAGGCAAATCTAATCAATTCTGGCATCTGATGGTTCTGATCCAATCACGCAGATTCTTCATTCCACGCCTTCTCGATCAAAACGATCAATCGCTCTCATGGTCCGTGGAGACTTGCCTAGTCTTGCAGACAATTTGTTCTTTAGACCAAATTTAGACTCGCAACTACCCCACCTACTGATTCTCTCCAAATGGCAAAGACATCCTCCATCATGAACGAGTGGGGGAAGTAGTACAAGTCATGGTGTGACACCCCGTGGCAGCCGCTATATAACTGAAGCTAATACAAGGCCTCGCCATCTCTCACCACTGCCCAGTGTCGAGACCGACGCGATACCAAGACTCGACCAGCTGTTTGTTCATCGCGTCCCGAATCTCGTTCATATTTACAAATTGAAATCGATCCCACTACACTAGGTAGGGGGAATAACTTACTGGCAATATTTATCTCTTAAATTGGGATACCACGACCGATCATCCACGTTGTCTCGTCCGATCTGCGTCAGTGCCCGTCTTCATGCTATGCAATAACGGAGAAAACGCGTCCCCCATTTATATTCTGCCACGTTGTTGAAATCAAGATGCAGAATGTCCGTCTTCCGAGCTAGAGCATAATTTCTAGATAGCTTCGATCCGTGGATATGGTCCCGAACTCCCAGGGTTACCCAGAGGCATTTTTTACTGGGCGTCGGGCCCAGCATCCTTGCCCAATTTTCCGAGGAGAAGACCAGGGCACCTGCGTATATTGTTGGACTGAATTCCTTAACTGCTCTTCTTGATTTCCGTAAGATAGTTTCCATTGAGTAACAGTATCAATTTATTCTTGATTTATCAAGTTGCGTCGTCCATTTACAGAACTAGAGTGGATGGAGAGTCGGGATACCAGTGCGTTCACCCTGATGCCGTGAGTAGCCACACCGCGGCCAACCCTTTCACGAGAGTGGATACAGCGACCTTGGATGAATTGTAGAAGACCTGCGTCAAGGGCTTATTTGGTGCGACTTGGTTGATGATCTGCGAGCCCATGGAGGATGTAATGGCGATCGAACCACCATGCTTGTTGATCTACAATCTGCCAGATCCGTCTGGGTCATGCCTTCCAAAAATACTACACGATGGTAGAACTTACTTTGCCGCGGCCCTGGCGCTGTTGAATACACCAAGGACATTAAAACCGTACACTTTGTGGAAGTCAGTTCGAGAGCAGGCTTCACGACAAAGGCACCAGCATTCTGTGATACCAAGACGTTCGAAGAAGTTCCATTTACCGCAATAAGCCCTGTCACCGGACCTAGCTCTGTGTCGATGAGAGAGAACGTTTCATTTGTCTTCTCTGCATCAGATACATCACTTTGATAAGCCTGTGTGCGAAGGCAGGGTTAAGCCAATAATTCCGCCCCCAGGTATTTCACAAAACGGGCCTTCAATTGCACACCAAACTCTTTGCTAAGTTCCTCAGTAACTTCAGGCATACCCTTGGAGCCCCTGAGTATACCAAACCATCAGCATATAGTCATAGAATATAAGTGCCAGATTCGGAGTCAACCTGTAAACAATCGCCACTCGTGCACCAGCCTGAGCACTCCTGGGCGCTCTGAGCAACAGCACGAGTAAAAGTGTATGCAATCCCACGGTTACCCCCGATAATGATAATGCATTTGTCTACGGCAAGACAAAGAAGGTCAGGTGGAAAGTGATGCCTGCACAATCGCAGACGATGCACTGGAGAAGTCGATGGTGGAACATTTCGAAGCCATGATATGTTGCATGCGTCGATGGGGGTTGGTATCTTTGATCCGAGGACCGAGGTATATGCAGTGTTGAAGAAAGAGAGATGTGAGGATGTTCAAGGCGGCGAAATTGTATCCTGACGAGCTACAGACACCGACGTCATAACCTGAGCAGTAGAATTGTGATCGAGGATAGCGAGCGTACACGTAGCGCAAATTTCTGGCAGGCTGAAATGTCTGTATATATCGTACATATAATACGTTGGAGTGGGGACCCCTAGGCAGAGGGTGAGAGCAGTGTTTGACGATATTTGGGCCGGGTTTAGCCGAGGCAGAGTTGTCAGAGCAGTCGATAGCCAGAGTAGAGGAGTACTATCATTCCGGGTAATCTGCAACTAGCATGTAATATGCAAAATGTTCAAAACACCTCAACGCGCTGCTCGACTCACTTCAAAAAAATTCAGGCATATGTAGACTACTTATAGATGATGTATTGTCCAAGTAGAATGAAAATTTCTTGAGTGTTGCAGCTGCGAGAGATGAAATAGTGGTAATTTGTAACCATGCAGGAACATAAACCATCCAGATCCCATAGATCCTACAGATATATTCACAAAGTTATACGTGGAGCATAACAATCACCTCGCCAGGATTCCAGAACACAATTTCGGTAAAGGTCATCCAGTGTTGTTTTAAGATGCTATAGAGGAAGAATTGACGACATGTATGAAAACGTGACAGCAGATAGGAGAGAGTGTAAGAAATTCAATCTCCTCTACAGCACACTCGGCTAGTGCACGGCATCTGCACTCTCCACACCAAGTCTTGCATTGTGTTGTGTCGTCTCCTCTTGCATCATTCTCGCATCCTTATTACAATGGCACCAAACCACAGGCGTACTATCCGTCAGAAGAAAGCCGAAGCAAGACATGATTCGTCAAAATTCAATGCACGAACCATTTAGTGGCTATCAACCACAGCCTATCCCTCCGAGTCAACCCTCGATGTTGCGCATGGATCTTCCCCCACCCGGGTATGCACCCCCATATTGTCCCATGCACCATTCCGCACCTCAGCTTCAGCCTCCAAATATTCCTCACTTTGCGACGGCTGGTAGAGCAGATGTTCGAGTTGGTGGTGAGGCACAGATGTATGATGTCGCAGGCCGTCAGCTCTATTCAGGACCATATCACCAGTACAATCACAATAACTACATGAATCACGATACTTAATAATAATATATTGCTGTATTCAGTATTTTCAGAGCTTCGCACCACTTCAACTGTTCGACGACTCAACGCCAACAGATCGAGAGCTGCGGAAAGTCAAAGTTGACGGTGCCGGTGCTGCGCCGAGGCGTGACACGACGTGACCATATTTTGCAGATTAGCAGTCAGACCCTGAATTTTCTCGACTTTCATCCGACACCACACCACAACGTCTTAAAAATGAGTAAAAATCAGATCTATATAGAGGTGGTACGAATCTACAACCCTCTAAATTCGTGGAAGATAAAATGAAGTGGTTGACGAGCTACAAAAGATTTGCTGAAAAAGTTGCAGATTACCCGGAATGATAGTAGGCAACTCCAACGTTCGATCAAGAGAACAGCTGAAGACGTTACTGGTGAACTTATGGATCCATAAATAAGCTCAGTTTCTAATACATAGTTTGTGGAGCTGCGCCGCGATTTACCTTGTAACCATACATTCTGACGACATCTGCACTCGGGGAATCATTTCAACATCTGTAACATTCACAACTGGTGCCCCTCAAAGTAGCTTGCAAAGCTCCTCGCTGACATCGGGCTACAATCGACATGTCGACATATTTAAGCTCTGCTACAAGATGGCCTCCCTTCTAGCGAAGTCCTGATCTGAGACTAGAAGTGATAGTAAATATGAAGAACGAAAGAGAACAGTATGGTCGGCCATATCAAGTAGCGCGCCCGCGCACGTGTAAAAAAGAAATACACGTTGTTCTTCATTTCTTTCTCTATCTCTGCAGTCAGCACGGCATCACTGACATTTGACCATTCTCACCATACATTCTCCCCTCCGCTTGTTTCCATCCTTTCACCTTGTCTTCCAGCCAGTCGTTAGTATGTTCCCACTCGTCAATCTGCAACGGTTCTTCGTTACGTCCCAGCTGAACATGGACAGTATCACCAGCGCATTTCATTGTCGCCTTCACGATAGATATCGGCCACTGCCAATCTTCATTCAGCCAGAAGAACCGCCAGTAATTGTTCCTCATCTCGCGTAAACGCAAGGCGACCGAGCGGATATCCTGCGATGAGGTGGTGTCACTATCAGACAGCTTGGCCTTGAAAGTGATATCCAAGCCTTCCCAGGCAGCTCTCTCCATTTTTCCTGGTCGATATATTACCACTGTATCCTGCGTGAGCCCATGATAGCTCCACAGGAAAGAGACATGATGGTGCCAGAGAGATTCTTCGTCCTTGGGATGACGAATATGCACATAATACTCCAGGTCATCGAGAGTCACGAGCAGAATGATGAAGTCGAAGAGTTCGTCCTCGGTTTGTCCGAAGGAAATAGAGCGTATGCTAGCTCTGCGGAATGGCGACTCTTCTCCACAGTTTTGTGAGAGAACTTGTTCTATGAAGTCAGACAATGTTACTTTGACCGGGTGCTCGTCATCGTTGTCATCTTCAGGGGGCTGGAGCGGTGTAACAGTGGAAAGCAAGTGTGACGCTACCATGCTGATTGCCGACCAAGGCCAGTCATTACACCTGGATTTCATAGGGAAATGATTTTTTGGAGAAGAAAGCGTGAGGTACCTTGACTCACCAACTATTCAAGCACCACGGAATCTCGATAAACAGGTGCATCAGTCCACGGCAAAAATTACCGACGATCTCTGGCCAAGTATGGCCACGAGGGTAAATGATAAGTCCTGCAATCGTTCTCGCCACGTCCATCGCAACCAACCAATCCAAAAATCGGAGCGGGTGATTTGCCACCACCTAAAAGTGTATCTGCTTGTTCATACACGTAAATATGCACATGGAGTAACCTACCTTAATCCAAGCGCCCGCTGGTTTGTGGATATACCCGGCCCTTCCGAGGGCCCATACCGCTATCGAGTCGCCTTGGCATAGCCCCAGAGTCAAGGGGTGATGGTGGTCCATGATATAGACAGCGCCGTACGACCAAGATTGCCTCCTTGAATTGTTCCGAAAATGTACCCTGAGCGGAATGCAAGCGGGGTCAGAGACCTCGACGAGTCTTCCATCTCGGGTATGGCGAAGAATAGCGCATCGAAACCATTCCATCCTATTGAGAGTGCTTTCGGTAACAAGGGTCGACAGTTCCTGACCTGGATCCAACTCCACAGTGCCATAGATAAATATGTGAACTGACGTGATTCTTGCCCCAGAGGTTGCAATTGGGGGAGTCAGGAGATATAAATATTTACCTGGCCCGCAGAAGTTGCGCCCTAGAAGATGGGGAGCCGTGCCCGGTAGCGTAGGGATTAAATCTGTGAAGTCGGGCGGCAACGCAGTGTATGTATGGTCCTGACCATCCTTATCGGCAGTCCGGTCCTCATGAACGCAAAGTTCCTTGGCACGTAGTGTCCAGTTGAGGGGACCAAAAATGGCATGTTTCAACCAAAGTGCGTGGCCACAGAAGCCATAAAGGAAGCAAATACATCGCAGAGTGTAATACTCGTGCCAACGTAGGTCTTGCCTTCCTTTCTCTGCGATTTCATACTATCAGCCAGGAGAGTGCGTTAAAATGTGCGAGACGCACCTATGCAACGCAAGAGCAGACCCCCGAACGCACCATACTCAGTCATGAGGTAAATTTTGAGCTGATCCGATGTTACATCCCTCCCTAACATAGTCACTGTCTTAATGTTTCTAGACTCGAGGGCAATGACCAGAACAATGCCTCGAGACCAAGCCCAACAGTTGGCACTGAACAACGCATAGGCTGGATGTTTCTTTCCTACTTGACCCAGAATCTTGGCAATGGAATGAAGAGTGACAGGATCACGAGCAGGAGGATCAGAGAACTGGATTTCGAGGACGGTCATGGTGAATCGCCTGCGGTCATGTTCAACGGGATCATCTGGTTTGTAGAACATTGCTTCATCTGCGCTGTCTTTCTGACTGCCAGCAAGACTGTCAGATGTCAAGGGTACCCATTCTCCTAGTCCTGTGTCCGCATCCCAAAAATGTTCCAAGTAAAGTAGACGCCTTTCACTGGCGTAACTCAGAGTAAGGACGATTAACTCGTGACGCCAGTGGGAAAAACGAGTATCCTTAAGCAATTCTAGCTTGTGTATTAGTGCCTTGCCATACCTTGAGCCGCTGGTTTTGGTGTTCGTAGACTTGGCAATACTAGGGCCAGGCGCAGTGCCAGGGGTCTCATCTATGGTGTGTGTCACATGATGCTCAGAACCTGTTGTAAACTCACTGCGACCCACCTACTGGTACCAGGTACTCTCCGAGCACCCTGCTGCAGAAATCATCAATGCGATATCCTCCGTCAAGAGCGAGTGAAGCCATAGCGCGGCGTGCATGCTGTAGAAGCCGCTCTATATATTATGTAGCAAGTATTACTGCTTACAATTGCCTCATGTTCACTTACAGCCGTGGTTCCTGTGCATCAGCCGCATATGCCCTTCTCCATGTTCCATATACACATGGCTGCAACAAGTTCTCGAACAGTTCGATTCTGCATAAAGTGCACTTCACACCAGCAGTGCTTTAGATGTCCCGTCCCCTCCCAAAAATTCATCTGCTCTGTCTCCAAATCTTTGATAATGTTGTCTTGCTTCAGATGGGTCGCATTTATCTCGCCAGGTTTCGTGAATTTGCCGAGGTCGCTGAAGTGGACGGCATACAAGCCGTTGACCGCTGGCGCGCAGAACAGCAAGCAGAATGGGATAGACTGTCCACCACGGTAAGTTATATGCTTAACTAAGCCATCGACCTTCACTAATCCATGTTTGTACAGCTCGCATTCCTCGCCACTATGAGTGCTGCGATCCTCGCGATTTCACCATCCGCTCCCCCTCTCGCTTTCTCTGTTTGGTTGGGCGCAGCTGGGTTGAGCGTCTGCGGTCTTTTCATTGCTCAGTACTTTCCAATCCAGGCGTTCTCTATTTCGGACGAGGACATGGGAAACCTAGTGAAAGATGGCCATTACATCAACTTAGCCATGCTTGCGACTGCGGTCGCCAGCCCTGTCATATTCGCCCTCTGGTCCTCTATTCTTTTTGCCGTCGGCATCGTCGATTACATTATTGAGAATCACCGTGGCGGACCGCAGTTCATGCTGCTCTCGCTTGTACCAATCACTATTGGATTCATAGCGAGCGCAGCCACCATGATGATCGGGAGTGTGATAGGACGGCGTATTCAGGCCCGCGTAGGTGGTCTTTTACCAAATTTTCATTTATTGACCTAGTCTCTCCTGCACGCACCAGTATGATAAAACCGATGTGAGCAAGACGATTTGACCCTCGTATTTTTCTCCTCAAAGATGATCGGATGTGATTTCTCTTCCCTACTATGAACATGTCAAGTTTTCGTCAGAAAGTCTGCCATACAAAACTGGTTGAAAATGCATGTTCTTCCGAAGTTCAGTTTGATAAATAGGAAATTTTTGTATTCTGCAAAGCCCTTTTTTGCGTGTGTGGTTTATAATCCTCATTGACATGAATGATTACGCGGAGAGTTGATGCTCTTTTGGTGCAGCATTGACTTTCTCTGAAATTGTTGTACAAACATTACATCCATCTATGTAATGAACCTCTCCTTCTTAAGCCCCGATTGATCTTGACTCCGTTTCGAATTTACCAAATGAGTTGACCGCTAATAAAAATGCAAAAGGGGTCAGAATCTTTGCGACGTGCGTGATCGCCAGACGTACCCGTCGACGAAGTACTCTCCGCCAGTCATGTAGCTGGCCTGCTCGGACAGGAGCAAAAGCGCCTGACCTGTTACCTCGTGGGGCTATTGAAGTGATCAGTGAATGCCAAATCAAAGAAACAATACATACCTTGGCGAAGCGTTCCAGAGGAATATTTTCCTTCTGATGATCGCGGATATCATGGGGCATGTGGTTGGTTTGATCCGTTTCCACTAATAGAAAATGTCAGGATACTCGGAAGAGGAGGATAAGGCAGAACACTGACCATAACCAGGAGACACGGCGTTTACTCTAATGCGAGGAGCCCACTCAGCGGCCAACCCCTTGGTAAGATTGGAAACGGCGGCCTTGGATGAATTGTAGAAAGCCTGCTTCAAGGCCTTGTCAGGCGCAGCTTGGTTGATGATCTGCGAGCTCATGGAGGAGGTAATAACGATCGAACCCTTCTCCCGCTTCTTCTCGATCCAAAGCCTGCCATATTCGTCAAGGTCACGCCTTCCAAAAATACTACATGGTGGAACTTACTTTGCAGCAGCCCTGGCGCTGTTGAATACACCGAGGACATTGACGCCGTAAACGTGTTTGAAGTCCTCGCTGGTCAGCTCGAGAGCAGGCTTCAAGACCGAGACGCCAGCATTCTGTATCGAGGCGCTTGTTTCAAGAAACAAGGTGGTAGGAAACGGTTGCACTCACTGCAATAAGTCCTGTGACAGGACCCATGTCGGATTCGATCTTAGCAAACACCTCGTTTGTGAGCTTAGCATCGCATACGTCGCATTTGTAAGCCTGTGCAAAAGATAGGAGTTAAATGAGGGAGATATTTCCGCTGAGATGATTACGTACCCTGACTTCGACATTGTATGTGTCCCGAAGTTTCTGAGCGACCTCATCCGCATTCGGGTTGCTCCTAACCGCACGTTCATACAAAAATCAGCGCATGGTGGCATCAGTACGAAGCTAAACCTAACCTGTAGATAATTGCCACTCGGGCACCAGCCTGAGCGAGAGCGGAGCTATACGCATATCCAATTCCGCGGTTACCCCCGGTGACAATGATGCATCTGTCTGTGAGCAGGAAGTAAGCACAGTCGGACGAGCAGTGATGTCCCAGACGACGCACCAGAATAGTTAAAACCTGAAGACATGGTGTGTTGTGTAGTGGTTGAGTTGTTGAGTACGAGTGTAGATGGTGGTCAAGTAGTCGGGAAAGACTAGAGAGGAGACTTGAGGAGAGCGGTATATATACTGGCCTAGTTTAGAGGCCCCTCTTTGAATTTGATAGTTCGAATGTATTGGCCCAGTCGAATTGTAAGCTAAAAGGACTGGGCCGTTTGAGGGGCGCGACCCCAAAATTCAATATTGGCCCCTTTCAGTGCACCCGGGTCGCACTACTACATCTCGTCTGTGCGAGAAGTGATAAATAGTATGTTGCCTGGAGGCTTGAATGGCATTAGAAGCAGTTCGCACTGCTGACATACTTGAGGTGGACGCCCACCTACCGTTTCTTGAAATACCGAGCGTGCTGCCTTGGAGGTCGGAGATCTCGCTGAGGGTTTGTAGCCTGTGATAAACGCGCTATACGCAATGTATGATGTCAATGATCATGCATTCATTCATGGCCCAGTCGACTTGTAAGCTAGAAGGACTGGGCCATTTGAGGGGCGCGACCCCAAAATTCAATGGCCCCTTTCAGTGCACCCGGGTCGCATTACATCTCGTCTGCGCTGATGGTTTGTAGCCTGTGATAAATGCGCTGTACGCAATGTATGATGTCAATGATCATACATTCATTCATGGCCCAATAGACTTGTAAGCCAGAAGGACTGGGCGATTTTCAGGGGCACGACCCCGTAATTGGCCCCTTTCAGTGCACCCGGGTCGCACTACTAATCTCCTCTGTGCGAGAAGTGAGAAATAGTATGTTGTCTGAGGGCGTGAAGGACATTAGTAGAGGCAGTCCGCACTACTGATATGTTGAGTATGTCAATTGACATCGCGGCTGCTCAGCGCTCGTCCTCAACTGTGTTTGCTACATCGGGTTCATTCATTATGGTTCATTTGTTCATGTCGTACCTATAGTTGCACTTTCGCAGCATTGCAGGCACGTCCGGTCCCTCCAGAGTATACCAGCCTTCGCGCAGATATTGTAGGAGCACCAGCTGTATGATCCACTTGAGATGAGATGAACAAAGTTATCCCTGGCCACACACATCAAGGCTACAGTACCTACGCTACTTATGTTTTCCCGTAGTTTTCCCTTTACCCTTGTGGAAAGATTTGCCCTCAAATCCAGGTCGAGCTTTAGTTTTCCCCTTTGACGAAGAAGACTTTCTTTTATCGTTCCGCCGCTCGTTTCGCATTGCAATGTTATCTGAACGTTTCTTCTGCTTGGCAGCCATGGAAGCCGTGACATGTTCTTTCCTCTCATCCCTGCAACGAGATGAGTATCGATAAGAAACCAACTGCATGATCAACGGCTTACCAGGACTTCTTGCTCTTCGCCTTCTCCTTTTCTTTACGTTTGACTGCTTTCTTGAGGCGCCCTTCATCATCCTTGACCTTGACACCTTCGAGACGTGCCTCTGCTTTTGCCCAACGACTCTTATCTTCTATAACTTTGCGTTTATCCTCCGGCATCGAATCCAATTTTTCCTTCCGCGCAGCGAGCTGTGACAAAGCTTGAGTAGGATTGGAAGACGTCTTGAGTGATGCGGCTTTTTTGCTCGAACTCCCAGCCACCGCAGAAAATGACACATTGACCAATGGTCCGTCTGTATGACGAGATGCAGAAGGGCCTTTTGAAGTGGCCGGTAACTCTGGAACAAGCAGCTGATTCTGTTGGTCGAGAACGGAGAGGATTAAATCAAGTTGAAACCTTGCAAGATACGAAATCAGACCTTGATAGGAAGACCCTTCGTTGCCGAATCCTTCTTGCTCCCTTTTTTACCTTCAGCTTCTGCCTTGCGCCTCTCCCTCGTCTCTTTTCGTCGTTTTTCACGAAGCGCAGCGCGTTGTCTTCGCCGTTCCTCCAAAAGCTCATCTTTATCTCCTGGTTCTCCACCACCCTGCCCACCACGTCGTAGAGCTGCCATGCGCAAATGGAGTTTATCTCGAAGAGCAGCGATACTCTCTGGTTTAGCCATGGGCACTATGGGTCCGGAGTCGGGTACAGTAGTTGCAACAGTATCGGGAAGGTCCATATCATCGACTTGCATAACGTCGTCGTCGTCGTCGGCATCATCAGAATCTGACTCCAGTGCTGCAGCTTCCCGTTTTCGCTTGACTTTCGAGTTGGTTCTTTCCAGCTCCAGAGCAGCTTCATTTTGTAAGTCGATCACTGACTTTTGATTGGCTGGGTCCAGCTAGGAAATATATGCACTCAGAAGGGAAACTTTAGCGCGTAATAATGTGGCAGACCTTATCCCTACGAGCGTTTTTTGATGCCTCCTTTGCAGCTTGTTTGGGTGCCTTCTGGTTTTTGCTGTGTTTTTGGTACTTGGACGGGAACTGTCCGACGCGATTCAGGTTAATATTGATCGCAGTTGTAGAATCACTGAAATTTAAAATAACGCACGGCATCGTCTGCATCATGATCATCTTTCGCCAGGTAATATTTGGCGGGTATCAAGTTTAATAGAGCTTCAAATGTATCATTATGAGCCTCGACTGATGCGCGCAGAACTTCGATGGGTGTTGTGGGCATTGTGTATGGACGAGTCTACATGCGAGATCTTGCACTGCTGCAGCGGGAGCAGATGCAGAATTTAAGGATTAGTCATGCAGGTCAAAAAAGGAAAGAAAGTGAACTGCCCTGATCGATCTCATCATGATCGTGCCTCGTTCATGGGGTTGTTGGCGAAGTAGTGCAACGTATGAGCTATCCAGCATTACCGAAATTTGACTGATGGGCTATGTACACGTTGGATCCTGTACCAAACCAGTATGTATGGGTCCGGCCTCACGTTCTAAGTCGTCAGAATCGCACACCACGAGGATGGTAAATTATAAGGTTTGTTTAAACTTTGTCTTTTGTTAAAGCAGTTCAATTTTAGGAAGTTTTGCGTGGTGGGTTGCAAGTGAGGCTTTTACAAAATCACAGAGATGATTCGGTATGATGTGAGCCCAGTTTACACCGTGTTGGCGATGAGCTGATGATGAGGGAGGTCGAGTCGTTTGGCCTGGCCGTCTCTTAAAACTACTGGATCAAGGGCGCAGCATTCTGGTAAACAGTTGTAACGTAACACGAGCAATGACGCGTAGCAAGACAACAATAAATGAAAATACGGTTTGAGTACTTAGGCAGTAGAGTTCGAGAGCATCATGCGTTAAATAACTAGAGAGAGAGATCTGCTTGTAGTGAGATATGAAGCCGGATACCTAGTAACTATAAGACTTACCTGAGTCATGACGGGTGTCATAATGACAAGGGCGTAGAAACAGGGATCGCAAACGCAGCGGTCGCCATCCACTCCGAATCCTCATTTTCGCCTGTACTCCTTTGAACAGACACCAAACACGCTCCTAGGGAAGACAATATTCCAAACATGTACCATATAACTGTGTTGAAAGACATACCCGAAGTGTCCATCGAATTGGTGATGGATCTCTGAATTGTTGGTCGTAGTAGTCTCTATTTGAAGCTGTACCTGAGTACTCGGTTACCCCGTACCAAGGCATGGAATCGACTGACATCCTCTTCGAATACGCGATGTCAACCTTGGTTGAGCAAGACTGTGAGACACCTTACCGGCACGAAACTATATAGGCGATCTGGGTGAGGGTACACATGCGAGGCGTGGCTATAACTGTCGTCCTGGAGGAATTATTATAGTACCGTAAGATTGAGAGCGCTATTACGCTCTAATAACGTAAAAACTCACCGCGTTAGCATACATGTAGTAACTGGACGAGGCGCCATATGGATGATTGATCATGACACCCCAGCATGAACAGGCACTGGTATGCCAATGTGCTGCGTTGAGTTCGCTGCCGCGGAATCAGAAAAACCGCAGGCAGATAAGTAATCGAGGAAGACCGCTCTGCATGTGGCTAGATAAGTTGTCACGAGAAACTGAGAGCAGTGCCGACGGCCCGATGCGAGATGAGTTGTGATGCACATAGCCCAAATGATTGGTTCACAGCTTAGTTGGTAAGCCGAAGTACCCGGTGCGAATTCTTGAACATGTATCCCCGACGACATCATTTTGAAATTCTTCGAATCTTTAATTTTAATAACTGTGTTGACCATGTCAACACCGTTACATTGTACTGGAATGTATTGATCAAGCATGCAAGAGTATGCAGCAGTTTATCCCAGCTGTGTCATCACCCGTGCTATCCGCGGAGATATCCGATGCAGCGCTCATCGTGATGGATGATGACTACGTAGTAGACAGACAACGGAGATACGTTCGTATTCATTGCACTGGTCGATGAAGAAAGGTGCCTACATTGACAGCGCCGCCCAGCTTGAGGAATACCAGTACAACCCCCAGCCAGACGTCCACCTAGTATCTCCCTGCACGCGTTCGAAGCATCTCATACTTCCCGTGTCATCCCCGTTCGCGAATACCTTTCATATCCCACTCCATCCGTTTGAACCAAGTCCAGTAGTGACACTGCTGAAGGGGGAGACACGGACGAAGACATTCTCGAATGCACTCCCGTAACTTATTGATATTCTTTCACCACCCACACACATAGATCCATATCTAGTTTGCTACATGCTGCATACCTCTCCCTTGCAGTTTCTGCAACTTCGCATTTGTACAGCCGCCTCCAACCACCCGCTTTAGAGCGCCCGGATGACCTCGGTGCGATCTTCTTGCATTAATATTTCATGTACTGCACCGATGTGAAAACAGAAACACGACTCACTTCCACACTAGTCGCTGCATATAAAGATGATCTACCACGTCGGTGAGTCATGTGGTTAAGTCCAGGACGCAAACTACTCATACTCACGCAAACCCCGCTGCAGCTTCTGCATTGACTATTATATGCGCAAAAGTAACAGGAGTTATTGCCAGGGGAGTCACTGGCACATATCGACGCTGTCAAAGCAGTAACAATGGCGAGGACAGAGTAGAAACGCATGATGTGATATGGGATCAAATCAATCTGAAGGGGACGGTAGGAGGATGCCTTGCTTTTGTATGCTGAATGTTGTTCTTCATCTGAAAGAGACCCCTTTCGACAGATGATATCTACAATGCCAGCAGATTGCCACCTAAGCTTTACCTTGTAAAGCAAGGTCTATTGGCAATGTGTTTGTTTATAGAATGCAGCAGTGACGCTGGATTATTTATCTGGGTTCGTCGATTAGCCTTAGGTACGAAGATGGCGATCATGTGCACACTATGGAATGGGAGAAGAGGACCCATTTATTGGGTGGTAGGCCGGAACCGTCGTCGTTACCGACACTTTTGGAAAATTTGCTGGCAGCGGTCTACAATGTGGTCAAAAGCCCAACACATGTGGAACTACCAGACGAGAAGGCATCCGATCACGAGTCGTTAATTCAGATATCACATACCCTAAATCTGGTCTGACTGGTGAGCATGAAACTTAAGAGCACGCTGGGGGTACAGAAGTAAGTCCGAATTATCTAGAGCAATTGTCGCAAGCCCTGATATCCAAGTTCTGTGGTTAACATTCAGCAACATTGTCCATCAAGCTGTAAGCCTATCGCTTACGACATCACATCACGTGGCTGTTCGGTTCCCTTATATCATCGCGCTATCCATTGTTTATCGCAGACTCGGGTCTCTTAGCTACTACTACATTGCTCCCTTGTATTATCGAAATCCACGATCTTGTCTCGTTACTTCTCGCCCGATCCGTCTTAGTGTTTCCCGCCGTACCACGGCGGGCCTCCACAAGCAAGCGGGAAGCAGGATTACTCGCAGTGCGGTCAAAAGCTTGCAACCGAGTGCGTGCTACCAGACAATGGCCATCTACGCTACGCAAGCTCAGGTATGGTAATACCTTGATGGAGAGGAAGGAAATGTGGTACAAACTGTAGATGCAGTACGAAAACTACAAGAAGTCAGCAAGGTGATCAGGCAGTAGTATACGTAGTACGAGGAAAGTTAAAATGGTGCTCGACTTGTATTCTCCCCCGCTAGACGAATCGATGAAGTTCGAGCAGAGCTGACTGAGGAGAGCAAATTTTATTGTGACCGTTGAGTGTCATCGTTGGCATGTACTAATTAGTTTGGGTATGTAGACGTAAAACGTTGACCACGTCTAAGCCACTCCTTCTCCATTCCACTCTCTTAAGAATCATAATTACTTATATGAGTGCTGCAGGAATGCACCGCCGAAAGTCCAGCAAAGAAGAAATAGACGACGGAGATACGTTCGTCATCGTTGAAGAAGAACCAACTACGGCACCTACGTTGACAGCGCCGCCCAAGTTGTCTGGTAGGCATCGGATTCATTCTACAGCTCTACCGCAGCTTGGTCCAGGAATACCACCAGCTAGACGTCCACCTAGCATTTCCTTGAATTCACCTCCTACTTCACCTTTCCGCGCAGTCACATGCACGCGTTCGAAGCATCTCCTCGGGTCCGTTCATGCCTCCCGTGTCATCCCCGCTCGCGAATACCTTTCATGTCCCACTTCATCCATTTGAACCCGGGCAAGTAGAGTCCAGTAGCGACACTCCTGAGGGAGGTGGAAGACACGGACGAAGACATTCTCGAATGCACTCCCGTAACCTATCGATATTCTTTCCCCGTCCACACGCAACCATCTCTGAAGATCTCCCCTCAGACGTAGAATCAGCTCCACTCTCCCCAATTAACCAATCCCAATCCCAAATAGAATTCCCTGTACCCGCATCTCAAAGCGAGCCTCTTCAAATCGGGCATGACCGCACGGCTTCCTTCTCATTCGGCTCCTCGGGCACATTTCCCAAGTCAAATTCGACAGGGGCCATCCCAGCTGGCGTGACAGCACGTAGAGGACACCACCATAAGCATTCCCTTTCTCATAACTTCTTCTCTTTCCTTGACCCTGCCCGTCCTTCCCAACCTGAACCAAAACCTGAGGAACTGCATACGGCACCTACCCCAGCCCCGATGTCCCCATGGAGTCCAGTGAGCAACGTCCAAGGCGGTGATAGTGCAAGCTCCAGCAACGCCGATCTCACTATGGGCACTATATCTCGCTCCAATTCTTCATCTCCGGCACCGTCTACCTTGCCTTATACCCACTTCTCTTGGAATCTTAGCAAAGACGGTCTTTTGGCGCGAGTGGCATGTGTGCTGCAGTTCTGCTTGGGCGCATTGGTATGGGCACGTGGTCAGGCGATCGGGTCCTTGGCGTGTACCGGCCTAGGGTATTGGGTTGTATTTGACGCGTTTGGAATCGCAGTGGGCGGACCCCTTCTTGGGAAGGGCAAGGGTGGTTTCGGGTGAGTTTATCAGTTTACCTTGTTCGCTTCATCATATATCACTCGTGGTATGCGCATATACCCATGTTCCCTCGCATATATCCATCCTCTCCCATGTCATTCGCCAAACTGATGCCTCTCACAGCCAAGCACGCACACAAACAACCCTCCTCTTCGCCCAATGCGTCTACCTCATGTTCGCAGGCGTAGTACGTAGCAAAAGAAGCTATCGAACATATCCTACTCTCCGCAGGACAAGGGCACGCTCACGGACATTCTCATTCACCATCTTCTCCTTCCCCTGCATCTCCCTTCCCCCGTATCGGCTTTGGCTCTGAATGTATCAGCCGGCATCACGAGAGGTCTGGGTGTGCATGGCGCAAGCGAGATGGGGAGTGATGGGCATCATCATCATTTTGGTGATGAGAGACCTGAGACGTTGGGGTGCGTATTTTGTTGTTGTTTGCTTTTGTGCGAGGCTGATGGGTCTCTCTTTTGGTATTGGTCTTCCTTTTGGGCCTTGATTCCTCGATCTGGGTGTATTCGCGTACCTCCGTCTCCTCACACTTCCTACTGTCAACGACGTCATATTCCAGACTCCGATACCCGCTCGGCCTGATTATACTCATCCTCTTCTCGCTCCTCGCAACTTCCATCGTGTTCGAGCAGCATGACGTGTTAGTTAGAGGTGTGTGTTTTCCGTTTTATATATGCTTGTTGTGCGGTTATTTTATGCGAGTTTCTTTTCGTCTGCTGTCCTATTTCGTTCGTTCCTGTTCTATTCATTGACGCTGTGCCAGTTCATTTACTTCATTCGGGATTGGGTGCGCGATGATGTTCAATCCATGACCTTGAATACTGATTCCATCTGCTTCTTCTGATGCGCACCCTCCTCTATTTAAAGAACTAACACCAACACTCCCAGTGACGAACAAATACATCCGCTTCCCATCCCCTCTCTCCCTATTCCAACGATGGCCGGCCTTCCCCTTCCCCATCGGTCCCAGCAAGAGGACAAGCGTCTTGGGAGAGGGTATTGAGGAACCCCTATGCTCTTCCTCCGATTGTGTTTTGTCTTGCGATTTTGGGGGGTGAGATGGTGTTGAATGTGTGAGTACACTCTTCCTTTTTTTATATACCCTTCCTGAGTTCTTCTTGCTCGATGTCGTTTTTTCTTGCTCAACTTTCTCCTTACTCGACATCTTCTCCTTACCCTACCTTCAAACAATTCAAACCTCGGCGCACGCTAACCATCCTTGCAGCGCACACTACACCCCCTTCGACCTCTTGTTAGCAACTCTCCAAGTCATCATTACTACCCACGTTGCATATTCAGCGTGTGTCGTCCTAGGCGGCGTGTTATTGCAGACTGCACCTGCTGCGTCGTTCTCGATGAGCGGCGGCGTCAGCGGCATGGGCAACGGCGGCATGAGCGGTATAGGTTCAAAAGGTCCTGACTGGTATAAACAAAGGCATGAAAAGCATCAACCGGACTAGAAGCAAAAATGGAAGCCTTCTGGCGTGTCGTCCGCGAAATCGAGAGACACGAACACATCACGAGTCTTCCTGCTCCGCATGTGTGGCAGGTGTGTCCGCCTGGACAATCCCAATCAAAACCGTCGTTCCCTTTTGGGCAGGGAGTTGCGTCAAGGGCTCGGGCTCGAGTTCGGTCTGCGCTTTCCCCTTTACCTTCTGATGCTTTGTTCTCGTTTTTCGGCGCTGCGAGAGAGATGGATTCCTTCAAATCCAGTGTGGCAAAAGCACCAGACGCATCCAAATCACCACAGCTGATAATCACGCTCTCACCACATGTTCCGTCTTCGTTGCGCGATGAGGAGGTGTTGAAGTTTACGCGGTGGGCTTGTGAGAGGGTTAGGGGGGCGTTTGTGGGTGATGGAACGAGGGGGCTTGGGCTTGGGGTGGAGGTGGAGGTTTGCGTGGGTGTTCTTAGGGGGTAGGTAAGGGTATGTCGACAGCGTGATTAGAATGTATACGTTGATCGATTGTCGAATTCGTCGCTGGATGGGTTTTGAACTTGAGAGAAGGGCCGACTTGGTTTGTATAAATGGTCTCTACTTCAGCTACAGATTATCAAGTTGCAATATGGGGGGTGATGGGCATCGTCATCATTTCGGGGATGATAGGTCTGTGATGTTGGGGTGCGTGGTTTTTTGTTTTTTTTTGTGTGAGGCTGGCTGATGGATGTCTTCGTCTTTTGGTCTCTTCCTTTTTGGGACTTGATTCCTATATGCGTACTGCGTCTCCCCACACTTTCTACGACAACGACATCGTACTCTGAGTCCAGATTGCGATATCCGCTTGGCCTCGTTACCATCCTCTTCTCGCTTCTCGCAACTCACATTGTGTTCGAGCAGCATGAGGAGTAGGGGGTATAGACCACGGGATCCTTTGACAGTCCATCGACCTACAAGTATTGATTATCTAGAGAGAAAGGATTGGATCAGGTGACACCGACCTTGCGATCAACATCATCTCGGTGTGCGGTGATCACCTAGTGATGTTCAATGATGACAAGAAGGAATTGCGAACCAACTCGCTCTCAAACGGCGCTCGTCCTAAACAAGTACCACGTATTAGTCAAAGGTGTATGTTTCCGTCCGTCTGTTTTTTTCATGTGCTTTTTGTGTAGTTGTTTTGTGCTGCCGTTCCATTTCATTTGTTTTATTAATTCTTCTTGGAAGGGGGGTGAGCGATGATTTTCAATATCCATATATCTGAATGCTGATTTCATCCGCTCGTTCTGATGCTCACCCCATCCCTTATCCCTTATCCCTCCTCCCTTCCCACTTTTGCATCCCTCCATTCAAACACAACTAATAGAATATTTCCCAGTAACGAACAAACGCATATCCCCGCTCTCCCTATTCCAACGATCCCGCCCATCCCCATCGGTCCTAGAAAGAGGACAAGCGACATGGGAGAGTATCGAGGAACCTATACACTCTAGTTGCGAACCAACTCGCTCTCAGACGGCGCTCATCCTAAACAAGTACCACGTATAAGTCAAAGGTGTGTTTCCGTCCGTCTGTTTTTTTATGTGCTTGTTGTGTAGTTGTTTTGTACTGCCGTTCCATTTCGTTCGTTCCTATTCATTTGTTTTATTAATTCTTCTCGGAAGGGGGGTGAGCGATGATCTCAATATTCGGATATCTGAACGCTGATTTCATCCGCTCGTTCTAATGCGCACCCCATCTCTCCCCCTTCCCACTTTTGCATTCCTCCTTCCAAACACAACTAACAGAATATTTCCCAGTAACGCACGAACGCATACACATACATATCTCATCTCCGCTCTCCCTATTCCAACGATCCCGCCCCTCCCCATCGGTCCCAGAAAGAGGACAAGCGACATAGAGAGTGTATCGAGGCACCCATACACTCTTCCTCTGATTCTGTTTTTGTATTACAATTCTGGGGGTGAGATGGTGGTGAGTTCTTTTTTACTTAATATCGTTGGCTTTTTGTTTCTTGCTCGATATCGCTCCCTTCTGCTTGACGTTATTTTCTCATGCTTGAGTCTGTTGAATGACAACGCTTCATTCGTGGCAGGTTCGCACTCGTAATGCGTCAGTACATTTTGGACTTCAATATTAATACTAGGATCTTGATTCTGAAAGAAATGATCATAATGTGGTACGCGTACAAGATATACATACATAGTCATACACTCATGACCAGCACGACGTTAGAGGAAAAGAACCCTACGTAACAAACGAGCAAGCGCGTACAGAAACACGAAACGTTTGACAATTGGACGAGTCACCACGACCCTACCTAATTTTGACAGACCTCCGCCTTGCTAATTACAAATTCACACCTGGTAGTCTC